GGAGGTGTGCAGCCTTTGGAATGAAAGATTGTGGCCAGATGTGGATGGGCTTGCAGCCAGGATGGGAGTTTCTTACTTTAAGTAGCTTGTGTGGTACTATGGAAGCTTTGTGACAGTACATTTCACATTACTAGTCTTTTAAGAATATTTATTTGATGGCATTCCAGAAGAGAGAGGAGGCAGGAAGACCAATTAGGAGCCCATCGCTGTGGTCTGGGCTGGAGGGGATGGTATGACCTCTGAGTCTCAAGGGGCACCTCTGGCTGATGAGGAATAATGGGGGTAGATTGACTTAGGCCTGCTTTCTTCTTACTCCTTTGGAATTTGAGATGAATTGCTGAGGGGCTTCTCTTATTGAATTTTCCTCAGAGGAGTCCTGATTCCAGGGGTGGCAGAATCAGGAGACAAAGACAAAAGAAAACAAAACAAGAAATCTTGCCCTTAGTTATGGGTAAGAGAAGGAAAAAGGAAAAGGGGCAGGAGAGGCAGTATTAGGATCTCCAGACTGCTCCTGAATGCAAATCATCTGCCATGAGACCATGCAAAAAATGCAAGCCAGACAAACTCCCATGAAAATGTGAAAGCATCCTGGAAACAGCAGGCCTATGCCAAAATTGTGAAGCAGACATTTGTCTTTACCGGACCCAGCCTCCCTATTCTGTGCTAATTTCCCTACAATGACATGAACTACTTTTTAAAAGCAGGAAAACAAATTTTTAAGTTCATTCTACTTAGAAAGATACTATTCTCTGTATTATTACAGTTCGTAGTGGAAGACTACAACAAACGATGTATTATAGCAGCTGACTCTAATTTCTCCATATCATAAAGGGGCAGTGATACGTATAACCTAAAAATTGCTTCTACAACGAAGAGAATTCTTTTCTTTTTAAACTGGCCCCAGCCTACCTGTGCTGTACCCAATTCCTTCCTTTGGCAATGTCCCATTTGTTATGTAGCACTTTCCTCCCCACTCCCCTCTCAGGCACAACGGAGGAATACATATAATACTTTTCTGGTCTTTTCTCTTAGCAAATCTATTCCAAGGAATAAAATCTGAATGAAATTCAAGTCACACTAAGATGAACATGACAGATAATAGCTTATAGTGTACGCCAGGGATATTTGCACAGGAGATTCATTCCATCTTTAGTAAGTCTTTATTCAAGTGTCTGTTAGGTACTCGGAACTTTCCTAGGTTCTGGGAATACCACAGGGAATAAAAAAGCTGTGGCCTGACTTCCTGTGAAGTGTATCTACTTACTGGGAAGACAGGCAGGAGACGAGTACACAATAAGCTGATTTTCAGGAGTGAGAAGTGCTGTGTGTGACAGGGAGTGACTTGTGGGTGTTGGGGGGGGTCGGTAGGGAAAGCTTCCTCAAAGAGCTATCACCTGAGCTGAGACTTGCATGACAAGAGGCTGTCATGGGAAAATCTGGAGGTCTTGAGCTGAGGGAAAAGAAAGGCAAGGGCCCTGAGGTAGGTTTGAGCCTGATGTGATCCAGGAGAAGGCAGCAGGGTGGACAGGGGTGGGCTCAGTGAGAGGACAGACAGGCAACAGCCAGATTCTGTGGGGCCTCAAAGGCCAAGGTGGTGCAAAAAGGACGAAAGAAGAAACAAATCACACATAATCCCCACCACCCAGAGATAATCACTGTTAACATTTTGTTGTTTTTGCTTCCTATCTTTCTTTAAAATACAAATAGCACCACTAACTCTTTTTCTTCACACTTGTAAAGGAGCAGTGATATGCATAATCTAAAAATTGTTCTACAGTGAACATAATTAACTGGTCTAGTCACTGAACAGAATATCCTGATTAGTCAAAAATTTGATGCCAAACTATGGAAAGAGCCCAAATGTCATGAATGAAGAAGAGGTGGTGTGTATGTCTCTCTCTCTCTCTCTATATATATATATATATAATATTCCATTATACACCACCTTTTCTTCCTTCCTTTTTGTATTTTCCAATTTCCCTACAATGACATGAGTTACTTTTATAATCATGAGATTTATTTTTAAAAAAGTTTATTATATGTGGAAAGTTGCTACTCTCTACATTAGTATAGTTCATGTAGGAAAACATAACAAATGACATAGATATAGGCCATGTTTTAATTTTTTGTTCTTTTTAAAAAATAGATTTACCGGAAACTTCCAGGATTTTTACGTGCACTTATGGATGCCCTGAGAAAAGACAAAATAGTCTTCCCTAATGATGAAAAGTAAGTTAATGATGAAAGAATGTCCCTTATTAGTGTATCTATGCGATTCTGGAGGGTAACTCTCAGGTAACATACTGAACGGGTAGATGAGAATTCTTAGACGGGTACCAAACTTTGAGGTAATGTGTGTACAAATTTTTATTGTTTGATATTGTCCTCATGTCTAATTTGAAAACTTCACTAATTCAATACTTTCTCTGAAGTCATAAAGGGAGTTGTAGACTTAGGGTTTACAGGATCTTTTAAAGGTGCTCTGAGAAGGTCTAGCCTAGTCAGGATCCCTGACTTCTAGGCCTTATTCCCCATGTAACCAAAACCCACCCACCATTCAGCCTATTGACCCAACAGCAAGTCCAATGACCAGAATTTGGCAAGTTAGCCTCTTGCAGCTAGAGAATTTAAGAGTGCCTCCAATGGGCAGTTGTTATCAGTACTTTATGTCGACACACTTGAGGGATCTAACCTTCTCAGGAGCAACAGTGAGTCATTGTGACAGGGTGGATGGGTATCAGAATTTGGGAAGTATTGTTTGAGAAAGTTATTAGAATGAGGAACAAGTCTTCTTCATGCCGTAGCCTCTCTGAATTACCAAGCTAGGAGGTTGACCAGGAAGCTGATTAAACCTGTTAATCGTGTGTCCCTCTGTACATTTATGGGGAAAAGTAAATACATTGCTACAAGGAGTTCTCTTTAGTCCTGTGGTAGTTCTTGTTATTTTTGAATTTTGAGTTGTTTTGTTTCTTTTATATAGTCTTTTAGTTAAAATATCCCAGATATTATGAAATAAGGTAGAATAAGGGAAAAGATGAGGTTCTTTTAACTGTACAAATTCAGTGTTTTTTCTTATTTAAAAAAATCATGTAGAAATAAATTAATTAAATACCTAATTAAATTGTGTGAGTAAATAGAAGAGAGAGAATCTTGCCTGGAAGGGAAAACAGTGACTATATGAAGTTTATTACATATGAAGTTGTCATTCCTGGGAAGGAAGGAAGGAGAGATCTTGTATTTTGAGGCAAATCTCATGTTTTGCTAAAGCTTTAACTTAGAAGAAGAGAAATCTCAACATATAATTTTTGAGCTGAATGCTTTTCTTCTACTTGTCTCTAGTGTTAAATTCCTGTCTTCTCCCCTTCTCATCATACACGGTGAGGATGACAGCACGGTGCCTTTGGAGTTTGGCAAAAAGGTAAACTAAGAGCTCAGTGCTGACTGAAACATACTATACTTGTATCACCATTTTCTCATCTAGCCAGACTTTGAGATTAGAGCCTACAGGAGGGTCTCTGACATTATAAGAGATTCTCTACATCCCTAAATAGGCATGCTGCCTGGTGTATACAATATGCATCAGCGTGCTATGCTTTGTAGCTTGAAGGAGTGTTTGTGGTGGATCCTGGTTCCTCGTCGGCAAGTGCATGTGTGGATCTGCAAGTATAGAGAAGATCCCAGGCTGCTGTGAGAATCTCCATGTAGTCTCTCCCATAGTGGCTCCAAAAACAGGATGCAGTTTCTTTTCTTTTAGACAAATACAGTGGGTCCATCGCAGTTCCTGTCCCCTTGCAGGGAGGGTGTTGGCAGCAGAAGGATGAGGTTCTGTCAGTGTTCTGTGTTAGCTGTGCAGTTTTCAGTTCCTTAGTTGTAGAGACAGCCAACACCGGGTGTTGGGCAAGGGTGGTAGAGAGTCCCTTATCTCTGACTTAATGGGACTAACTCCCCAAGTTGACTGTTTCTGTACTGTTTAGGAAAATTAAACTAGAAAAACACCACCTTTGATGGTCAGCCTTTGAGTCTCTGTCTTTCTGTCCCGCACAGCTCTATGAAATTGCACACAATGCATATAGGAACAAAGAGAGGGTCAAGATGGTGACCTTTCCCCCTGGTTTCCAACACAACTTCCTCTGTAGAAGCCCCACACTAATAAACACTGTGAGGTAAGAGTTGCTTTGCTAAATGTGATTATCCTTCTCTTAAAGGCAGATAGGGCTGTTCTGGCTTACTTAGACTGGGAAGTGGAGAAAGCATGTGAGCTGACCTAAGTTCTTTTTTTGCAGAGATTTCCTGAGTGAGCAGTGGGCATGAGGTCTGAGAGTAACAGAAATCTGAAGTGAAGACTTGGTCCAGACACCACCCTAGAGGCATATTTTTCATGTAAAATTGTACTGGGCTGCTGGGATGAGCTGAAGTCACTGACATTTCTACAATTCACTTGCCATTTTAGTAAGGGAAAGCATGGATGTTGGGCATTATTGAAAGTTGTCATTTAGCTTATCATAGTCTACTTTGTGGAACAAACTGAAACCTCATTGTAGAGTATCAGAATTTGGTAAAATTTGGATCCCATCTAAAAATGTGCGGTTACCAAACATGCTGGGGATATTTGTGAATGAGGTGGTCTTTGGTTGGGACTTAACAGTATACGAAAGGTACTCTAAAGGTACTCTAAAGTTAAGTAATTTGTGTTTTAGTTTAGTTAATTTAAATGGCATTAAAAAGTTCCAAGTATTTTCTAGCTTTTTGAATAGCCCTGGAGAAAGTCCTAGCATGCTACTCAATCTGCCATCAAATAACAAGTTTTGGCACTCATGTAGCCCTTATAAATTGGCACTTTATTTTTAGCCCTAATACAGTCATACACTTTCCCTCCTAATTCCCAGAAATTCTTAACTAGATTATTAGCTAACAAAACAAAACAAAATCAAAGAATGTTGTAAAAGTTTTTAAATCCAGTAAGAAGTTATTTTTTTTTCTAGAGACATTTTACAACTTACTTTCCATTGGCTTTGTTCACCCCATTGCTAGATTCACTGGATAGGGAAATCTTGAGATCTGAAGGCTCCATGTTCCAGATGTCCCTGGCATATTCCTTAATTGTTCGGTCACTAGAGAATTTCCCTGCAGCAGCTATATTTTTGAGTACCATTGTGTTCCAGGCCTTTGGATTCTGTAAAGAACGCACATATATATGGCCCATGGCCTGAGTGCCCATCGAACTTTATGACAAATGCCAGGCCAAGCACATCCAAGCACATTTGCAGGGGAAAAATGACAGGAGTAAGTTGTAGTGAATCACAAATACATTTGTTTCACAGCTGAGAGCTAGATAGGGCAGATCATGCTTTTCTCCTGTTCAGAGTATATTTCTCTTAAGAACGAAAAAAAGTATTTTTCATTTTAAGAGAAACCATGGATGTAAATTCCCTAATTGGTAATTGTTGCTATGGTTACAATATTTTGGCATGCAAGCCATATTTCCCATGCTTTATTTTTTATTTCACATCCCTTTAATTAGAGGGGAAGGAAGGGACTAACGTTCATTGTCTACTAGATGCTGTGTCAAGAGATTTAACCTGTGGCTTAGATCACAGTTTGAAAAACACTACTCTAGAATGTTAGCTGTTGTGCAGGGAAACAATGTAATGGGACAATTTATTGACCTACTTCTCCTTTCTTGTTCTTTCTGAAGGTAGATGCCCCAGTTGATTTACACTGAATCCCAAATACTCTATTGGGGTTTCAAAATAGGATCAATTAAGGCCTTATCCTTAATAAAATATATTCTATCCAAATTTTATAATTTTTATGTAAAATAATATAAGAAGCTATTTATTTTATGCCCTCATGATTTTGTAAAGAACTCTAAAAGTTCATTAAAAATGGCCAGAACATGGGAACCTGGATGGCATAGTTGGTTAAGTGTCTGACTCTTGGTTTTGGCTCAGTCATGATCTCAGGGTTGTGAGACTGAGCCCTGCATATGGCTCTGTGCTCAGCTCCTTGGAGTCGGCTTCAGTTTCTCTCCCCTTCTCCCTCTGCCCCACTCCCCACCCCTGCTCTCTCTCACTCAAAAAATTAAATAAATCTTAAAAAAAAGAAAAAGACCAGAACATTACTCAAAGCCATTAGCAATGCATTATAAACATTTAAAAGAAAAGCCAAAACTATGATTATTCCATAAGGTACTGCAACACAGAGTCTAAAATTTGTTTATTCGGACTTTGAAAACTTGCTAAGTAAGAGGAAAATAAAAGCTTCCTTTTCTTCACTTTCTTTAACTAGTTAAATGGATAATGAATAGACTTCCCAATATGTTTCTAAGCCCCAAAATACGATAACTGTTATGAGTAAAAACTGCAATTAGTACTAATGAACAAGGAAGACTGAACCAAATGCTGGGCTTTGAGATGGGCATCTTTGGATTTGGGCCATAACATTAGCAAAAGAGACCCCATTGTGCAAAACTGGCATTCACATTTGTCCTTGCCCTTGTCATATTTTCCTTTCCTGCTCTATTTATATTTCTTTTCCTCTTAGCCATTCTACACACAAATACAAGTGGAGATCAAGAGGAAAGAGCTAGAGTTGACCATTTTCTTTTGTCTTTGCGTTCTTGGAGGCAGGTAGTGAGCCACTCAGCTTAACTCGAGTACTGCCCCTCCTTGCTAATGGCCTTTAACTTTAATTTACTCTGGCCTATACATTTTTGGGGGACTAGATATGATTCTATTAGAAGATAAGGTCTGAATATCCTAGATAGTTGCCTCATTTCTCTTTGGATTGATTAATGGGGCCCTCTTATTTCGATTTAATAAAAAGAAACAAAAATTTTAATTAACCATCGTAAGCTGGTTACTTTTATAGGTCAGCCATATACTCACCATGTACAGCTGGCTGGCTTTTTCTTGACACTTGACATAGGCTTCGTAGTCTGCGAAGACTTTAAACCTGTTTTTTGTGATTGGAAGGGAAAAACAAAATAACAAAAATCTTCATTAAAATATATGTGCTAAGATTCCACTTAAAATTATCTTTTGCTTTTTTTTTAAGATTTATTTGAGAGAGAGAGAGAGAGAGAGAGAGAACACACAACCATGAGCGAGGGGAGGGGCAGAGGGGGAGGGAAAGGGAGAGAATACCAAGCAGGCTCCGCGTTGAACAGGGAGCCAGAAGTGAGGCTCGATTTCATGACCCTGAGACCATGACCTGAACCAAAACCAAGAGCTGGATGCTTAACCGACTAAGCCACCCAGGTGCACCACCCCCTTGACAAATTCTCTTTAGTATAACATCAGGCATGGCTGGTTTACCAAACTTACATTTCTATTCACAAGAATTTTAACCAGCCCTCAACCTTTATATTGGTTCTTCCCACATGTAAGAATGTCAACATATGGATGTTATCTGAAAGCTGGGTATACCAGTGGAAAGAGAAAAAGAATCCCAGATCTGTGGGTCTTGTTCTTAAACCTTCCTGCATAGTTAGTAGAGAATATCTAATTTTTCAAGTATAGGTTAGCTTTTCAGATCACAGATCTATGCTAATTACACAGATGTGTTGTGGTTGGTTTAGATGTTCTTGTCCCCTTTTCATGGCCCAAACAGCACGATTGTCTTGTGGGAACTCACCTGTCGTAATAAAATAGCATGTTGACTAAGTCTTTGAAGAGGTCAGGCTGCTTGGGAGAGAAGAAGCCATTGTCAATTTGATCAACGGCCAGCTTCAGCTCTGGAAGTGCTTCGTAATATTCTTTTGCCTCATACCTGTGGGGTGAGAGTGGGGGTGATAAGAAAAAGGTTCTGTTAGTGTGTGTGATGAACAATACACTAGACGGGTGACTTCCAGGGAAAATGGCAGAGTCGGAGGACCCTAAGCTCCCCTCATCCCACAGATACAGCGAGATAACACCCACAGCGGTGTCAATAACGGGAGACAACAACCTGAAGACTGACTGGACAAACTTTCCACAGCTAAATGTGGAGAGGAAGTCACATCAAAGAGGGTGGGAAGAACGGAGACGTGGTTGGGAGTTAAGTGGACCCATGGGACTGTCCTCAGGAGGGAGGGATGCCGTGGGCATGAAGAGGGTAGAGAAACAGACTATTACACTGGGGAGCCCACATGGGGAAGATGAATCCCCAGAACATTTGGCTTTGAAAACCAGATGGGCTGAATTTTGTGAGTTCTTACTATCAGTGGGGCTTACCACCTGGGACTTTAAAAATCAGCAGGCTTGGCTCTGGGAGAGCAGGGAGAGCTACAGGAAACCGAGTCCCTGCCCTTAAAGGGACAGCGCAACAAGCAGCCCCGGAGATACAGTATAAAAGCCGCAGTTTGAAAAACACCTGGGGTGTACTGGAGGGAGATTTGTTTACTAATCTCAGAGCATATGCTAGAGGGACAGGGATCTTTAGGTGACTTCTCCAGGAACAAAGGAGCTGCTGGTCACTATCTCCCTTCCCTGCCCCCCACAGCCTAGCCACCCGGACCCCTGTGGGACAGTGCTGTGGAAGTACTGGCTGCCTGACTTGCTAACAGTGCGCCCAGCCCCCAGCTTCCTCTGCAGATCTGCCCCGGCAGTCAGGCCTCTGCTCCAGGTCCCCTCCCACAGCAGACCTGGGCAAACCTCGCTGGCACTGCCCACCCTGACCCCCAGTTCTCCTGTGCTCCTGCCCCCTACAATGTGCTCTTGGCCAGAGCCCATACAAAGTGGGGCCACGAGCCTAGCTGTGTGCAAGCAGCCCCCACACGGGCCAGCACCACTCCAAAGTGACTCCCACCCCGGGGAGGGGAGAAGACAACCACACGCAACAATCAGACTGCAGCCCCAGCAGTGGGCTGGGCGCAGACAGCTGGTCTGCCTCCAAGCACTGTCCGCCGATGAAAGCTTCTCAGGGGAGGACAGAGTCACACTTTGGTGTGATTGCAGCTCTGGCAAATGCCTGGTCCGACTCCACTCAAGCCCGAGGTGGCCCCAGCCTGGCTCACTGACAACACAAGGACCAAACTGTGCCTACAACAGGCAAAGAGGGCCACTGCAGACAACTGGATTGAAGGAAAAAGTGGCTCAGCTACAACAGCAGAGTGTGTGCAAAATGCATAGAAGACACCCCTGAAGCACCAGGTTCTGATAAATGGGACACTGCACTATGGGGCACTACTGGACTCTCCATGAGGCCACTACTTTCAAGAGCAGGAGACATAGCCGACTTTCCCAACACATAGAAACAGACACAGAAAGTTAGGCAAAATGAGGGACAGAGGAAATGTCCCAAATGAAAGGACAGACAAAATCACAGCAAGAGGCCTAAACAAAATGGAGATAAGTAATATGCCTGATAGAGATTTTACAGTAACGGTCTTAAGAGTGAATGGTCTTAAGAGGAAAGTGTGCAGGACCTCAATGGATCCTTAACAAACGGAGAGAAAACATAAAAATGAACCAGAGATGAAGAACTTAATAAATGAAATTAAAACTGCACTAGATAGAATAAATAGTAGACTAGAAGAAGCAGAAGACGGGATTAGCTACCTACAGGATGGAGTAATGTAAAGTAATCATGTTGAACAGGAGAGAGAAAATATAATAATAAAAAATGAAAATAGACTTAGGGAATTCAGCAACACCACAAGGTGTAATAACATTCATATTATAGGGATCCCAGAAGGAGAAGAGTAAGAAAAAGAGGCAGAAGTTTTATTTGAAGAAATAATAGCTGAAAACTTCCCAAATCTGGTAAAGGAAACAGAAATCCAGATCTAGGATTCACAGAGAGCCCCCAACAAAATCAATCTAAGGAGGACCACCCCAAGACACACAGTAATTAAAATGGCAAAAAGTAGTGATAAAGAGAGAATTTTAAAAGCAGCAAGAGAAAAGAAAACAGTTATTTACAAGGGAAACCCCATAAGGCCGTGAGCTGATTTTTCACTGATTTTGCAGGCCAGAAGGGAGTGGCATGATATATTCAAAGTGCTGAAAGAAAAAACATGCAGCCAAGAATACTCTGTTATTCATCATAGAAGGAGAGAGAAAGAGTCTTCCAGATAAGCAAAAGTTAAAGGAATTCGTGACTACAAGAAATGTTAAAAAGGGGGCGCCTGGGTGGCTCAGTCGTAAGCATCTGCCTTCAGCTCAGGTCATGGTCCCAGGGTCCTGGGATCGAGCCTCCCATTGGGCTCCTGGCTCCACGGGAAGCCTGCTTCTCCCTCTCCCACTCCCCCTGCTTGTGTTCCCTCTGTCACTGTGTCTCTCTCTGTCAGATAAATAAATAAAATCTTAAAAAAAAGAGAAATGTTAAAAAGGATTCTTCGAGTGGAAAGGAAAGATCATAAGTAGGAGTAAGAAAAGTAGGAAGCACAAAAGCAGTGAAAATAAGTATATCTATAATAATCAGTCAAAGGGGGCCACCTGCGTGGCTCAGTTGGTTAAGCATCTGCCTTTGGCTCAGATCATGATCCCGGCCGGGGTCCTGGGATTGAGCCCCATGTCTGGCTCCCTGCTCAGTGAGGAGCCTGCTTCTCCCTCTCCATCTACCCCTCTCCCCTGCTCATGCTCTCTCTTGCTCAAATAAATGAAATCTTAAAAAAAAATCAGTCAAGGATCCACAAAATGAAAGGATGTAAAAAGTATGATACCATATGCCTAAAATGTAGGGTGGGGGGTGGAGTAAAGAATGGATTCAAACTTAAGCGACCATCAGCCTAATAGAGACTGCTATATGCTTAAGATGTTATATACAAACCTAATGATAACCACAAATCAAAAACCAGTAATAGATATGCCAAAATAAAGAAAAAGGAATCCAGTGTATCACTAAAGAAAGCCAGCAAACCATGAGAGAAGAGAACAAGGAACAGAGAACTATAAAAACAACCATAAAGCAAGTAGCAAAATGGCAATATGTACATACCTATCAATAATTATTTTGCATGTAAATGTTCAAATCAAAAGACATAGGGTAATGGAATGGATAAAAAAGTAAGACTTATCTATATGCTACCTACAAGAGACATACTTTGGACATAAAGACACATGCAGATTGAAAGTGAAATGGAGGGGTGCCTGGGTGGTTCAGTCACTTAAGTGTTTGCCTTGGGCTCAGGTCATGGTCTCAGGGTCCTGGGATCAAGCCCCACGTCCAGCTCCCTGCTCAGTGGGGAGCCTGCTTCTCCCTCTCCACCTCCCCCCCACCCCTGTTCATGTTCTCTCTCTTTTTCAAAGAAATAAAATCTTAAAAAAGAAAAAAGAAAAAAGAAAGCCAAGAGATGGAAAAGCATTTATCATGTAAATGGAAGTAAAAAGAAAGGTAGGTGGCAGTACTGATATTGGACAAAATGGACTTTAAAACAAAGTCTGTAAAAAGAGACAAAGAGGCTATATAATCAAGGGAACAATCCAGAGAAGATATAACAATTCTAAATATTTATACACTCAACATGGGAGCACCCAAATACATAAAGCAGCTATTAACAAACAAAGGAAGTAATCAACTGTAATCCAATAATAGTAGGAGACTATAACCCCTGACTTAGATCAATCAATAGATCATCCACACAGAAAATCAACAAGGAAATAGTGGCTTTGAGTGAAACATTGGATCAGATGGATCTAACAGATATATTCAGAACATTCCCTCCTAAAACAGCAGAATACACATTTTGTTCAAGTGCACGTGGAACATTCTCTAGATCACATTAGGCCACAAAATAAGTCTCAATAAATTCAAAAAGATTAGTCATACCATGCATATTTTCCAACCACAATGCTTTGAAACTAGAAATCAACCACAAGAAAAAAATCTAGAAAGAGCAGCAATACATGGAGGTTAAATAACATGCTACTAAACAATGAATGGGTCAACCAAGAAATCAAAGAAAAAATAAAAAAATACAGAGGCAAATGAAAATGAAAACAGAGTGGTCCAAAATCTTTGGGATGCAGTAAAAGCTGTTCTAAGAGGGAAGTTTACAGTAATACAGGCCTATCTCAAGAATCAAGAAAAATCTCAAATAAACAACCTAGCCTTACACCTAAAGAAGCTAGAAAAAGAACAAGCAAGACCCAAAACCTGTAGAAGGAAGGACATAATCAAGATTAGAGCAGAAATAAACAATATAGAAACTAAAAAACCCCAATAGAACAGATCAATGAAACCAGGAGTTGGTTCTTTGAAAACATCAACAAAATTGATAAACCTTTATTCAGACTCATAAAAAAAAAGAGAGACGACTCAAACAAAATCAGAAATGAATGAAAGAGAAGTAACAATAGACACCACAGAAATACAAAGGATTATAAGAGAATATTATGAAAAATTATATGGCAACAAATCAGACAACCTAGAAGAAATGGATAAATTTCTAGAAACATATAAATTCTTAAAACTGAATCAGAAAGAAATAGAAAGTTTGAACAGACCAATTACCAGTAATAAAATTGAATGAGTAATCAAAAGACTCCTAACAAACAAAAGTTCAGGACCAGATGCCTTCACAGGTAAATTCTACCAAACATTTAAAAAAGAGGAAGGAAAGCCTCCAAATTAATTCTAGGAGACCAGCATTACCCTGATACCAAAACCAGATGAAGACACTACAAAAAAAAAAACAACTACAGGCCAATATCTCTAATGAACATAGATGTAAAAATCCTCAGCAAAATATTAGCAAAATGAGTCCAACACTACATTAAAAAAAATCACTCACGAAATCAAGTGGGATTTATTCCTGGGATGCGAGGGTGGCTGAATATTCATAAATCAATTAACGTGATACATCACATCAATAAGAGAAAGGATAAGAACCAGATGGTCACTTTAATAGATGTAGAAAAAGCATTTGACAAAGTACACCATCCATTCATCATAAAAACACTCAACAAAGTATTTAGAGGGAACATGCCTCTACATAATGGAAGCCGTATATGAAAAACTAATAGCTAACATCATACTCAATGGTGAAAAACTGAGAGCTCTTCCCCTAAGGTCAGGAACAAGATAAGAATGTCCACTCTCACCACTTTTATTCAACATAATACTGGAAGTTCTAGCCACAGCAATCAGACAACAACAACTACCAAAACAAAAGGCATCCAAATTGGTAAGGAAGAAGTAAAACTTTCACTATTTCCAGATGACATCATACTACATACAGAAAATGCTAAAGACTCCACCAAAAAACTACTAGAACTGACAAATCTCGTAAGATCATGGGATACAAAAATAAACATACATAAATTTGCATTTTATACTAATAATGAAGCAGAACAAGAAGTTAAGAATTCCATTTACAATTGCACCAAAAATAATAAAATACCTAGGAATAAACTTAACCAAGGAGGTGAAAGACCTGTACTCCAAAAACTATAAAACACTGATTAAAGAAATTGAAGATGACATGAAGAAATGGAAAGACATTCCATGTACATGGATCTGAAGAACAAGTATTGTTAAAATGTCCATACTATCCAAAGCAACCTACACATTTAATGCAATCCCTATCAAAACTAGAACAATAATCCTAAAATTTGTGTGAAGCCAGAAAAGACTCTGAATAGCCAAAGCAATCTTGAAAAAGAAGAACAAAACTGGAGGTATCACATTTCAAGATATTTTATATAGCTGCAGTAATCAAAACAGTATGGTACTGGCACAAAAACAGATACATAGATCACGATTATCTGGTCAATTAATCTTAGACAAAGGATGCAAGAATATTCAACGGGAAAAAAAATCTCTTCAACAAATGGTACTGGGAAAACTGGTCAGCTACAAGCAAAAGAATGAAACTGGACCACTTTCTTACACCATACACAAAAATAAACTCAAAATAGATTAAAGAACTAAATGTGAACCTGAAACCATAAAAGTCCTAGAAGAGAGCACAGGCAGTCATTTCTCTGACATGTGCTGTAGCAACATTCTTCTGTTTATGTCTCCTGAGGCAAGGGCAACAAAACAAACTTTTGGGGCTACATCAAAATAAAAAGCTTCTGCAAAGCGAAGGAAACTATCAACAAAACTAAAAGACAACCTACTGGATGGGAGAAGATATCTGCAAATGACTTACCTGAGAAAGTTAGTATTGAAAATATATAAAGACCTATATAACTCAACACCAAAAAGACAAATAATCCAATTAAATATGGGAAGAAGACATGAAGAGACATTTCTCCAAAGAAGACATCCAGACGGCTGACAGAAACATGAAAAGATGCTCAACATCACTCATCATCAGGGAAATGCAAATTAAAACCACAATGAGATATCACCTCACACCTGTCAGAATGGCTAAAATAAAAAATGTAATAAAACAACAAGTGCTGGCGACCATGCAGAGAAAAGGAACCCTTGTGCACTGCTGGTGGGAATGCAAACTGGTGCAGCCACTGTAGAAAACAGTATGGAGGTTCCTCAAAAAATTAAAAATAGAACTACCATATGATCCAATAATTTTACCACTGGGTATTTACCCAAGAATACAAAAACCCTAACTCAAAGGGATACATACACCCCTATGTTTATTGCAGCATTATTTACAGTAGCCAAATTATGGAAGCAGCCCAAGTGTCTGCTGATAGCTGAATGGATAAAGAAGTGGTATACACACATAATGGAATATTACTCAGCCATAAAAAGAATGAAATCTTGCCCTTTGCAACATGGATAGATCTAGAGAATATAATGCTAAGTGAAATAAGTGAGTCAGAGAAAGACAAATACCATATGATTCCACTTATATATAAAACTTAAAGAAACAAAACAAACAAATGAAGAAAAAAAGAGAATAACCAAAAAAATAGACTCTTAACTACAGGGAACAAACTTATGGTTACCAGAGGGGAGATGGGTTGGGGGTGAGGGAATGGGTTAAACAGGTGATGGGGATTAAGGAGTGCACTTGCCATGATGAGCACAGGGTGATGTACTGAATTGTTGAATTACTGTATTGTACACCTGAAACTAATGTAACCAACTACACCGGCCGATAATGAATAGCAAGGACCTCATGCACCTGTGCCCAAGTTCCTTTCATGTTCACTTGCTGGGTTTAATAAAACTAAGCTGTGAGGAGGCTGCCCAGGAGCATGGGAGATGTTCTGTAGCCGCATTTCACATGACCCTGCCTCAATGGGATACCTGGGTGGGCAGGTGATGTACTGAATTGTTGAATTACTATACTGTACACCTGAAACTAATGTAATACTACATTAACTATACTAGAATTCAAAAATGAAACAAAAATAATACACTAGATGCTACATTAGCTGTGAAAAATGCACTCAGAAACATTAGCATTTACAGAAGCTATTATTATAGAGTTCAACATGAGTATCAATAATATTTGATTAGATCTGGAAAAATTTCCCCCCTAAATTTGATTAGTTCCCTATAACTGAAGACCCAAAGAACAGTAAATACTAAAAATAATCCAATCCGTTAAAATACAGTTTAATAAAACTAAGCTGTGAGGAGGCTGCCCAGGCGCATGGGAAATGTGTGGCCACATTTCACGTGACCCCAACTCAGTGGGATACCTGGGTGGGCAGGCACCCTCCTGGGGGTGGGGGTGGAGCACCTGCCCAATAAGGAGGAGCTGCTCCCTTACCCTTTCTTGTCCAAAGCGGCCACATCATCTACTCTCATGCCAAAGATGAACAGGTTCTCTTCCCCAGCTTCCTCTGCCATTTCCACGTTGGCTCCATCCATGGTCCCAATGGTCAGGGCCCCATTCAGCATGAATTTCATATTGCCTGTCCCTGAGGCTTCGGTGCCTGCAGTGGAGATCTGCTCCGACAGATCTGTAGCTGGAATGACTGCAAGCAAGGTATATTAAAATCAGTGATTCTGTCTCTAGATCTTCTCCTATTGTATCTGAGTATTTATCTAGCTGGCCTGTTCTGATCACATTAAAATAGTCCATGTACATCAAGGTAAACACTCATATGGTATGGAAGGATGGATCTCACTCTCCCCCTTGACTCAGGCAACTGCTTTTGTCCATTTTTGATGTGCTATCTGGGTGGTGATGGCCACAGTGCTAAGTAATTATATGCTCATACTGCTCTTCCTTGGTCTGTAAACTCCAGAGAGCACCTGTTACGCTCTGCTCTAAAAGCTGACACTACGTTTCTCTTTTTCCTGCTCTTCCTTCCAATTTTTGTTATGGTTTTGTTTTTATTTCTTCTGCTTGATAACTTTATAAAATAGATTGAAACTTCTCTTTCTTGATCTTTAAAATTCAGTCTCTCCTGGGCGCCTGGGTGGCTCAGATGGTTAAGCGTCTGCCTTCGGCTCAGGTCATGATCCCAGGGTCCTGGGATCGAGTCCCGCATCGGGCTCCCTGCTCCTAGGGAGCCTGCTTCTCCCTCTGCCTCTCTCTCTCTCTCTCTGTCTGTTTCTCATGAATAAATAAATAAAATCTTTAAAAAAAAAATTCAGTCTCTCCTGACCCTTCCTTTATAATCTGAGGAAATTGGATCCTCCGCATTCCTTCCATTTTCCACCTCCTCCCTCCCTCCCGCTTACCTGGCAGAGAAATGCACCGGGTGCACCTGAGGTGTGCCTGGGGCTAGACACCAAGCCTCTGACCTTTCAGCCTAATTTACACATAAATTAGTGCTGCCGGAAGGCCTCCTTCTCCCTCTTTGACTTCAAAGGTCAGAACCAATTCTCGTTTTACTTTGAAGTCTTATTTGTGGATTAGATATCTCTTCATTTGCATCGGTAGGAACCTGGCTCTTCTCTTTCTGCATACAGTCTTAAAAGAGTAACATCAGAGGACCCAAAAATACCTCAAAAAGAGAAAGGTCTGTTTTCAATTTGGAACTGGGGTGAATGCACAGTTGGCATCTGCATGTGGATGGTGCTTTGTAAGCACATGATGCAAATAAGCAAAGAGAGCAATAGAGAAAAGGATGTTGGCTTTTTGCCAGTCTAACTGCCCCCATGTGGGAACTCCGTGCATGATCAGTCTAAGCACATCTAAGCCTCATGATTGGCAGCCTGACATCTGTCCTCATTCCCTGTTGCCATGTGAACAAATGACAGCCCTTCTTCATTCCACTAAGTGACCAGAGGAATATTGGGGGCTGGGGAATTGGTGTTCTGTTGCAAAACTGGAGCTGGGAATGGAAGACCCTTTCTTTTCCTTTCCTTTGTAGAGCCCGGTCTGCGCTTTGCCCAAACTTCAGGGCCACCTCCTGCAGCACCCAACTCTGGCTAGCTAGCTGGCAGGAAAATGCACTTGCAAAGGTAACTGGTGATACTGACTCCTGGGACAGCAATCTCATTGTCAGCTGGATCATCTCCACGACTCTTAGCCCAGGCCCTAATTTTGCCCAAGAGTGACACTTTCTATTCTAAGTTACTGACCCCCAGAACCCAGCTACCTCATTTTTCCCTACCATGTAACCTTTCCCGAGAATTTGCCCTGGCCCTGCCTGATTTGGGATGAGGATACTACCTTTTTCAGCAAGAGACACTCTGTAGTTCTCCAAGAAGATGACTTTCAACTTGTTTCCAACCACCGGGTCATTGTTCACCACATTTGCCACCGAGGTGATGAGCTTTATGATCATTTTGGCCATGTGATATCCTGGGGCAGCCTTGGGGAAGAACAGCAAACACACGGTTGGCAGGCAGCCGTGATGAAGTGGAGAAATGGCAAGAGATCTGGACCCCCGCATCCCCAGTGAATACAATCAGCTTACTTTGCCACCGATTATGACTGTTCTGGGCACGAATAACTTCCTGGGGTCTTTCTTAATGCCTGAAAAAGATTTAGGAGTGGGTGGAATGGAGGGCGGGTGTGGGCTGGGGTGGTGAGGCTCCCGCCTCCGGGGGTGCGGCGGCTGCGGGGTGACTCACGGTTGTACATGGTGACCACGTGCAGGCAGTTCAGGAGCTGCCGCTTGTACTCGTGGATGCGCTTCACGTGCACATCGAACATGGAGGAGGGGTTGATCTTCACTTTGTACTCCTTCTCCAGGAACTGAGAAAACTTGAGCTTGTTCTCCTGTGGAGACAGTGCGCCATGCCGGGGCCCTTTTGACTCGGAAGCATCAACATCTAGTCTGTTTTTTAAAATTGGGGGTGGGGTGGGGTGGGGGAGCTTCATAAACCCTCAGAACTAGTGCTGCCGAAGGAATCCACACTGGGAAGCCTCACCTGCTTCACGCTGGCGATTTCTCGGAGGAAGACGTCATTGTCCAGGAAGCCCTGCAGCTTCGTCAGCTGGCTTAAGTCTTTCATGTAGTCTTCCCCGATTTTCTTCCAGTTTAAAGAAGAGGTTATGTTAGTCAGGGACGGCAGTCCAGCCCACATACGCAGTTTCTGTCAGTCTGTGGTGGGCGCCTACAACAGGACAGCTGACTAGTGCGCCTCACACGGAACGGCTACACTCACAGAAGAGCCTGGAAATGCTGGCTGGGAAGAACCCTCTGCTAGTATCTTAACTGTAGTTTCAGTGGCAGTAAGTGCTTAAAAACAGATGACCTACCTACAAGGGGTAACGCAGAACCCAGGTTCTACTAGTTATTTTTATCACCTTCGCTTACTAAATAGGGCCACCATCTTCCATCTGTGGGCCACAGGAGTACTGGCAGCCAGCTACGGAACCTGTGGACCCCTTGTTTAAAAAATTAAGAATTTCAAGCAGGCTAGAGCAGAGAATTCAATCAAGCACGGAGCCTTGTGGAACCGCACATGTCACCAGCTGAGGGCTGGACTGGATTCTCGAATTATAAGGGCACTCATCCACCTGTAGCCTTGCAGCCAGGCCTCCCCTGACTTCCCCCTTACCTCCGCTATTAACTCTGCCAGCCCTGGGTTGCAGAGTAAGAGCCAGCGCCTCGGAGTGATCCCATTGGTTTTATTCTGAAATTTGTCTGGTTCTAGCTCACTGAAGTCCTTGAATCTGGAGTTGGAAGAGACACATCGCTGAATTTGAAAGAGCAGGTTCCTTTTACATTCCAGAAGCCAAGGGTAGGCTTAGAGAGATTAAAGGTGGCAGTGGGGGGGTGGTGGCTGGCAGCACTACTGCTGTCATTCTAAATTGAGATCCATTTGCAATTCAACATAATTATAAGAAAAATTCCAAATCAAGTCACCTCCATATGATTTCCTGGCACTGATATATATACCAGATTTTCAGTAGAATAGGTTGTTTTTTTTTGGCTCCTACATCTAGAAGTAGGATGGTTCAGAGAGGAAGGCATTTTCTTTTTGAAAAGAAGTTACTTTGTATAGAAGAAAATACTTTTGCACATTTTGACAGGGCCTTTCTTCATCCCAAAATGCATCCTTGCATTTACTAGCATCGGTGCATTAATACAGCGATGTTGAACCCACCACCACAGGAATGGAGACTCACACTTGGGTCTTCACAATGTCTGAGTGAATTTTAGCCACGCCATTCACAGCATGGGAGCCCACAATGCAGAGATGGGCCATGTTGATCCTTTTGCCTCCTTCCTCTTCAATCAGAGACATTCTTCTCAGACGGTCGACATCTTTAGGAAACAAGGCCGCAATTCTCTAGCCAAGGGAAGAGAAAGGCCTTGCTGGCCACTCAGGTTTAAAGCAACGTTAAGACAATGTCATTCACTTCCCCAGCAAAATCTCTAATGGAGCAAATATGGAACTTCACTACCACAGAGAGGGGCTGGGTTTGCCCTGGGGAGATGCCATCCTCCATTTTAGTGTTTTCAAAAAAGTGTCTTTAACAGAGCCCCACCCAGTCTTGAATACTTTTGATGTATCTATGAATACTATGATGTATCTATGACGTTTGGGCCTCCAGTTTGGTGAGAGGGAACATCCCAGCCACCCTTAACATCTCAAGACCTCATTCTCAAAAGGGGTATGAATCCCTCAAAATGACTTACATCTAAATGCTTCTGATTTATCTCATAAATGATTTGCAAATGTCGAGGAAGCAACTTTTCCACCAGCCCTACGGGCCAGCGCTCCAGAGCCTCTGGGAGCACCGTGTGGTTGGTGTATGCAAAGGTCTTCTGGGTGATCTCCCAGGCCTGAGGGAAGGGGAGAAGAGTTAGTTGCTTCCCTCTGCAAGAAGGCCGCCCTGCAGGTGCATACCCCATCACACAAGACCAAACATTCCCTCAGCTCCTGCCAGTCTGCAACAGTTAGACAGACACAGTTAGACATAGTCCATACAGTTAGACACACTCAATTCCACCAGGGTCCAAATCATCCAGCGAATGGGAATATGGTTTTTTTCTGGGGTCGGAGGAGGGGAAGCAGCCATTTGTAAAACTGTCTGAGAAAACTGAAGACAACATACTGATAAGTCTTCTCTACTATCCTAACATGCCGTTTATCAAAAGCAAAATCTGAGCAATACAAACAAGTAATGTTCTGTGAAAAGTACAGAGTACGTTTAAAATACTGATTTGCAAACTGGTGGAGACACATAATTAGCTGTGTTCTGAGGTTGGAGAATTTAATTTAGAATCCTTTTCGACCCAAAAATGGCAATCACAGTGTAAGTCTGAGCTACTGAGCTGTGTCCCATTAGGAATGTATTTATTTATTAGTCTTCCTCCCTGTAAAGCGGTAAGGACAGAGAAATGTTAGCACCAGGCAGACTTCACCTTTAACCATTGGAAGTGAGCAACAGTAATTTATTTTGAAAAACTGTAAAAGGAGCTTTTGGCAAAATCTCTGAACCACAGATATACTATTTAATTAAACGAAAAGGAAGCCAAACACTCCAGACCTTGGACCAGGGCAGTTTTTCAATATCCACAAAAATCCTCATCAGCTCAGGGATGGCGAGTGCGGGGTGTGTGTCATTCAGCTGGATGGCAACCTGTATGGGGAAAAGGCATCAGTGTGCAGGTGATGGATGGCCCGAAGTCTGGGTTCCTTACCCTCATGTACATCTGCACAAAGCACCAAACAGAATGCCCACCCTCGGTGAGGCGCTTTAAGCCTACCGCACCTACTCAACTTTTTTAGCACTGAGAAAGGGGAGTAAATCTGATAGGAAGTCCTGATCCCTCATTGTCTCTGTCCGTGTTCAAAGACAGAATACTTGCCTGGTCTGGAAAGGCATCAAACGCCGTTTTGGCACTATCCGTGGAGCCAAACTTGGAGGCTTTGAAACGTCGGATGACATCTTGCAAGGTAGCAGCCACCACAAAGTACTCCTGCTTCAATCTCAGCTCCTTCCCTTCAAAAAACTTCAAGCCAGAGAGACGGAGTGAGAGTGGCTCACACTGTGAGTGAGGCGTGGCCAAAATATGCCAGGGATCTCCTGCCCAGAGAACTTTAAGACGAAAGCTCATAGGACATCTGGAGGAAGAGGGCAGGTTGAAGGCCAAGCATCAGGCTTTGCTCTTTCCTGAAGTGTAAAGGGATTTAAAGAAGGCATACAGGATGAAGGGAATGGGAGACAAGACAAGAGCAACAACCTTTTTGAAGCTGAAAAATAGATGGGCGAGTGGTAATTGGGCCAGAAGACCCAGGAAAACTGAATAGAAGAGCCAAAAAGCAATTAAATTTATGCCCCAAAGCCCCTGAAGGCTCAGGACTTGGCAGCACCGGTGCCCTCGGAAGTAGGAGAGAAGATATGGTAAAAGGTCAGCTGTGAGCCTAAGCAGCAGCTGGCCTCAGACTTCAGCCCCAGTCCTCCCCAGCTGAGCAATCTCCTTCCCCAACGCAGGCAGAAGCCCGATGTGTATTCTCTGGAGATGGTAACACAGGGGCCTCTGGGCTGGAGAGAGGCACGGAGAGTCAAAAGCAGGGGTACCACTCTGTACTGAAAATGGGGGGAAGGGGTTTAAGTGAAAGTTTATGTGCTGAATTGTTGAGACTCTCAGCCTTCTTCTCCCAACCAAATTTCAGAAGCCAGGCAGTGGATATCAATTCTGCCAGGAAGGAAGCTGCAAGAGCCTTCCCTCAAAGGTGAGAAAGATTAGAGCAAACAGTCCTGCACGGTGGGGACCTCAGGCAAGATCATGGAGGATGCATCTGAGAACTCATGACTGTACCACTGAGGAACTTAAGGGGCACATCTGAGATTCTGCACTTTTCTTATAGATGATCAGAAGACTTTAAAGAGCTTTAAGCAAAGAAAAAAATAGCTGCAGAGGGACGACAGTTGCAAGATTCCTGGAAGAGGGACTCATGTCTGGAGGAGGGCTATGGCCAAGTTGGCGAGAGTGAACGAGTTTGCTTTTGTAATTACAGTACAAAAATGATTTATCAACTCATACTTAAAAACAGGCATGACTCTGACAGCTACCTTTTACTCAATGAATTTAGTTAACTTTGCACCCCATGCTAACTTTGTATCCCCTATGAATTGCCGTAGATGGTTATTTCCAAGTAAAGTTAGGTTTGGTCCTTACTGAAGATAGGATTAATTTCAAGCCCCTTTCAGTTAAATAATTCTGCAGGCTGGGTTTGGCTAGGCAGTGCTTGGAGGGATTCTTACTTTAACTTACCACAAAACAAAATGACTTTTTGCTTTTGGGTCAGAGATTTTTCTGACATGTACTGAAGTCACAATGTCTCTCTCAAAGGAAAAAAATCACATATACCATTAAGTTTCTGAAAATGCTGCAGCAAACAGCAGAGTACCAATCTGGTTGTTTGTGAGACTTATTATTAAAAGAGTAATCATTACAGCTTCAAGAAAATAATTTTACCCACACATAAGATAGAGCTAAGTATATTTAAACCAACTAGGAATCCACAGTGGTCATCTGTGATGCAGTTCCAAGTTAATTTTTTTTTTAATTTTAGCTAAGCTATTTTAGTGTAAAATTGGGAATAATCACCTATGAGAAAAAATCTCAAGAGATGAATAAGTGGCATAAGAAACAAGTGTTTGCTCCTGGGTCTGCTCTGAGGTCCAGACCCCACCTCGCCTGAGTGTAGAAGGCTGGGAAGAGCCTGTCAGTGAGGGGAAGAGGCCAGGCAGGAAACCTCCAGGGTCTTCTGACTCTGTGGAAGAAACTTCCATTTGGAAAGGAAGTAGTATTTTACCAGTGCTTCACTTCATCTTTTATATCCAGGTTTTGTTGTGAAATGTACAGACATAACCTCCTTATTGGTTGTGAGGTCACTAGTCAAGGGCAAAATACCAATTCTGACTTCATGTATGGTACAAATTTGTTTTCCTTACTTGGGTGGCAGGGGAAATCTAGACAATTCAGGAAGAGATATGGAGACTATAGTGCATTTAAGAAAAAAAATCAATATTGAAGATGTGCTTTATGGGCTATGGAAAAGTGCTTCTGAAATAGACTGCTTCTGTTTCCACTGAGAAAGCAAGCTCGACCACTCACGTTATCATTGGGATAGAGGACCCGGGAGATGTTCTCGGCCAGATTTCGGTCCAGCACAGCCTGAATGTAGTCTCCAACGTTAACTGAGGGGAAGGTTAGAAAAATGAATAAATAGATAAGCCAGCCACTGTTATCGAAGCCCCTTGACCTCACCTGATGCTTGCTGTGTACCACGTGGATGTAGGGATTCCTACAACTCCTGAAAATCCAAAAGGATTTCCACAGCCCCCCATGCTGTGATTCGCAAGAGAGTCTAAGAGGGCCAGACTGCAGGACTGCTTTTAAAATGTCCTCTGCACATGCTCCATAAAATGGCTGCTCACTGGAGAGTTCTGATCAGAAACTCAAAGCTTTTCTCTCAACTAGCGATACTAACTAGCGATCAGAAAGATTACACGCACACACACTGACACACACAGAAACCATTTATGTCCCAGTTCCCAAGATCCTTGTTTTGTGCCCTCTTTTAGAGCTGGTGCTGATCTGGTTGCCTCTCGGATCAAAAAGATGAAACACACACGCACATTCATGAGAGCCCAGGCTGTACTCACAGTCTCTGAGGTTAAAGTCATTTGGCGCCCGCGCGGACCAGAGGCGCATGGTGTTGACGGTGTTATTCATATACCCAGGCACTGGAGTGTCATATGGCAGGGCCAGGACCACCTGTGGGGTTAAAGCGAAGCAGCTGCTTAGTTTCCCATGTGTGGTGACGTAGGCTGAACAGTGTGCCGGGACACAGCAAGGGACTACAAAATAATAATCAGGGTTAAGTTTAGTGTAGGTAATTCAGTGATCTGATTTCAAATACGGATCAAAATTAATGGAATGGAAATATATGAAGATAGATTACAGATGATACTGAAAATGCTATGCAAGATTTTTCAAAGTTGCATGAAGAAGAGTTATTTTAGTGGTCTGACAAATCAGCTGATAATTAGCTGAGATGGGTGTAAGAGGTGAGCTTTGGAAAATCTAACTCAGTCTCTGACAGTCATTGAGACAGAGAACAGGAAGATGACTGCGTTGCATGTGAATTTAAAATTTATGTGGGAAAAGACTCACTTCTATTCCCTGCCTCATCAGTCAAGCTCGAAGGAAGGGGAATGACAGACTGATTTTACTGGAGGATGCTAGAGATCATTTCGTGCAATCCAATCATTTTGGACATGAGAGGAATGAGGCTGAGAGAGAAGTGACTTACCCACAGTCACAGTCAGTGGTAGGGTTGAAACCTACACAAATCTCTTTAATGTGGTCTGCTGAATTATGAATGAATGAAGCATTATAGCCTGTATCAGTCAATCACATATATTCAGTCCTGCTTCCATGAATACCATGACCGTGAAGTAATCAATCACCCTTCTTTAAATACTTTTACTAGAAAATAAAAGTCTCTGGAGATTTTTAAAGCACACTGTGATCCGTCAGGAAAAGGTGTTTACAGAGTGGGAGTGAGTCTGGGTTCAAACGTGATTTGTCCTTCTGACCCTTGAAGTGTAATTGAGGCAGCTGGGGAGGCACAAAGCTCAGATGTCTCTTTGGAGAACTTCAGGCACGACTTACCACCTGGGAGCTCGAGCCCAGCCGAGCTGAGGTTTGCTTTCTTAGGGATGCTCCCATTGTGGTGGGATCTTGAGAGCCAGGACTGGTCTCATGAGCAATCTTTAACCTCGGGCCCCATCAGCCTGGCTGCTTGCTCTGAGTTATAAGGCCCACTGAGGCTCTTACTGAGGATGCTCTTTCTTTCCCCCTTTCTCTTCATAGGTGCCATGCCTCCTCCTCTCCCCACTCCCTTCTGTCATTCACAGGCACTGCCCCACTACGGCACTTGCACTTCTAATTCTCTCTGGTGTCTGTTCCCCAGAGGACCCGAGCTGACACACAAGTGAAGTGGATTGCTCAGTTTATCGGAAGCTGCCCACAGCATGTGCACACCATGCCTGTCCTCGTGCTCTCTGACCTCACCAGCTACAGACCTGGGCCTGACTTGGGCAATGGCTTCCAGAAATCCATGAAGTGATGCATGGCCTGGGGCAGCTCACTTTGTATTCCATCTGCCCCATAACATTGCCTTTGTGGGCACAGAAAAATATACTGTCTCTAACTGAATTTCTGGATATATTATGAAAATGTTTAGAGGTGCTCTGTAAATACAAGGTAGCTCAACAGTGGGACCTAGTGTAAACAGAATATTTCCAGGATTGATTGTGTAAACTGCATACATTTAAATAGCTCAGAAGTCACTGGAAGTTTTAGACACTAAAACCTACACCAAATACTCACTAGTTTAATGCCAAATACATGTGTGAATTCTTTGGGCATATTAATGATTGATTTGTTTGCAGCTAGCTCTCCTAACTGTATTTGTAACCAACTGCAACTCAGATTGTGTTTTTTTAATACAAAGATTTTTTTTCAGCATTGTTGAAAAGTCCATAAATGTCCATCAAAAAGAGTCTAATAGAATAAATAATAGGATATCAATGCAATGGAATTCTGTATCATTAAAATTGTCGTATAGCTATCTATTAATTAGTATTGAAATTGTTCACAGTGTGTTAGCAAGTGAAAATGTTACAAAACAGTAGAGTAAAATCGCATTTAAAATATATATTTATATATGTATGATGAAATGCATGGGAAAACTTTTAAAAACTGATACACTAACAAATCAGTGGTACTTTGAACTAAGGGATTACAGGTGATTTTTATTCTTCCCCTTACGATGATTTGTATTTTAAAAATCTTCAGTGAATGATAGGTATTTATATTACTTGGCTCATTTAAATAACGTGCAATAATTTGAGCATTTATTTTCTGTCTGAAGCAAGGGCTGGAACAATGTACCCAAGCAAGGAGGGCATACATTCAAGATTTCCGAGAGTTCTCAAAAAACATACCTGCTATGCTGGCAAGATGCCAGACCTACACAAGTGAATATAAGAGCACCGGACTAACCTGGCCCTGAGAGTCAAATGTGTGCAGCGGGACATCGACTACCTGGAGTACCTGTGAGAAGCTGACGTGTGCGTGGAATCAAGAGGACAAGACCCTGGCAGAAAAGCTCGTCCAAGAGGCGGAAGAAGAGAAGAGGAGAAGAAGATCGGGACTCTGCTGAATGCAAGTAAGACAACTGTGTCTCACGCTCAGAGACACAAACGAAGCACAGACAGGGGTCTGGCCAAGTAGGAGAGTAAGAACTAGATGTGTGGTTTTGGGTGCAGGCGTTGGGAGAGAAACCTTAGCAGGGAACAGGTGTCTGAAGGAAAAGTCAGATTGTGTTCTGTTGTTTAACCAAATTTAGAAAAACAGAAAGAGAAACTTATCTTGAAATTATAGTATTAATTTATTCCTTATACTATTATACTATCATGACCTATTTTAGCTTCTAATCTGCTATTTCCCATGTTGAATAAATTCATCCTCAGATAGAAAAATCATTTTTAAATAGTCTTATTTTTCTGAACTGTGAAGAACTCTACATGGATTAGCAGAATAAATTATCAGTTTAAAAAGTCAACTATAAAATGGGTCTTGATTCTTCTAAAATAAAGTATTTATTCATGGGGAATAATCCGCAAACCAACTTAATTTAGCATTACAGTACTGAATTTCAGTCACAATTTTGCCAACTAAAAGTATTAACTTGCTCTTTACCATTTCCTTTAAGCTTTTAAAGACTGGCCAGTGACATATCCTTCCCAGCCTGAGATGATATTTATTAAGCAAATATCTCAAGTAGAGCCTCCAAAGATTGGACAATGCAGTCTAGTAATTAATAGGGGTTATTAATCAGGAAGTAAGAAGACAGCAGAGCACACAGCATCACTGGGGGTGCTTAGAAGTGAATTGGTCAGCTACAAGGTAATGCTCAAATCTAGTGGCAGGATAAATACCTAGCCATGAATTAAGTCCACTCGGATGGACACCAGCATGATTTCTCTAGAAGTGATTTTGCACAAAATAAAAATACAGTTTGCAATATTTTGTATTATTTTTCTTGACTTTGCAATGAATACAATTTTTGGCAATCCTTTCAATAAATACTTTAGCTTTAAAATAATTACCCCTGGTAAGTCCCAAGTAAATGTATCTATGGCAGTGAGGTAAGAAAGGACGTTTAAATTTATTTAATCTTGGTATCAAAAACTTTATATAAAACTGGAGAGCTAAGCATACTAGAATTACAGAATTGATTAATCTCTGAAAAAGCTGATTGCAAAATGACTGATAAGTCACTTGACCTTGGGGAAGTCACTTGTCTCTTGGTCTCAGCTCCCTTGTTTCCAAAGAGTGGGTTCACTAAGAGAAGGAACAGATTTATTGATAAAAACATACTCTATTATTCAATACATAATATACTATCCTCAATATCATATACACATCATCCTCTATGCTAAGTATTCACTGTGCTATACAAAATGCTCAGCATGAGGACACTCTGAATACCTGGGTGTCGATCCATTTGGTCCCAGTGTTGGTGTGCTCTACTTTTCCATAGAAGTGCACAGGCAGCATGAACTCAGGCCGGGCCTTCTCCCAGGGGTTTCCATGTCTGAGCCAATCATCTGCCTCTTCCACCTACAAAAAGGACACGGCTGAGAATTTGTTTTTCAGGAGATGTGGACCTTCCATTATCTCAAATCAAATTATATCAAATAAAAATATCTTTTTTTTTTAAAGATTTTATTTATTTATTTGACAGAGAGAGAGAGACAGCGAGAGAGGGAACACAAGCAGGGGGAGAGGGAGAGGGAGAAGCAGGCCCCCCGCTGAGCAGGGAGCCCAACGCGGGGCTCCCTCCCAGGAACCTGGGATCACGACCTGAGCCAAAGGCAGATGCTTAATGACTGAGCCACCCAGGCGCCCCTCGAATCAAAATATCTTTGACTAAATCAATGCAAGAATACTGTTTTGGTAACAAAGATTACTGATTCTGTCAAACTCAGTTCGCCTTTGTTAGAGTATTACAACCTAAATCAACAACAATCATATCTGTTAATACATATTACTGCATTTAATTCTCATAGCATAACCCTGTAGGATGGAACTATGATTTTTCCCTTTTTAAAGATGAGGAAATTGTAACTTGCTCAAAGTCACATAGATAGTTTAAATGGCACAGCTGAATTCTGACCTTAGGTGTGTGGGTTCTATAGGTGGATTCTGGGTGTCTGTGTCTTAACATCTGTGAATACAATTGTCCAGCTTGAGGGACAGAGAGGCCATCCAGGGATGTTTATAGTTGGGTACCTGGACCCTGAAGGCTCCTACGTGATGGTTTCTGTCAAGATTCTTTTGCCTAGAATGCACAGACCAGTTAAGAAATACCACTCATAGAAAGCTCTCTCTTTTTAAAAAGATTTTATTCATTTATTTGAGAGAGAGAGAGAGAGAGAGAGACTGAGAGCACAAGCAGTGGAGAGGGAGAGGGAGAAGTAGGCTTCCCACTTAGCAGGGAGCCTGACGTGGGGCTCCATCCCAGGACCCTGGCTCAACTGACTGAGCCACCCAAGTGCCCCAAAAGCTCTCTTAATAAAGCTGATGTCAGTATAGATACAAGACACTATTACATTTTGTAGTCTTTGTTTAATTTAATCCCTTTAGTAATTTTGATCTGATAATGAACTATTAATTATGGTTCATGTTGAAAATAATATGCACTAAGATGTAAGGAATTTATTTTATTGACAATTTCAACATTTTCCCGTGTATTTATGTTAATTTATAACCACATGTTTCTTATAAAAAATTTTAAGATCATAATTTGTATTTAGGGTATTCTGGACATCAAATGGATTTTGGTTTGCAATAAACAAACATGCCAAAACAAAACCAACAAAAAACACATTGGAGAGGGGGGATGTATTTTTAAAGTAAATAAAGACATTATTAGTGAAAGCTTTAAAATATTACACCTATATTAAAAAATGCAATTGTGTTTTGACAAGAAAGGAGGGGTAAGGGCTTTTAGGACAAAGTACTCTTGTCAAAGAGGTTACCCCAAATCTGGTTATTTTACTTATTTGATTTCTCACCTTTCCCTCTTAGAAAAGTTAGCTTTAGCTTAAGAAGAATTTGTTTATGAATTATGACACACTGCTGGATGTTTCATGACCACCACCTAAATATGAATTCAGTGCCTGCCCCAGGCATAGTGTGGAGACAAGGAAACACAGCTACTGTCTTTTGAGATATCAGACAAAACACTGATGTCAACAGACAGACAAGGAAATACACATGCATTTATTCAAACATTGATCATGACTTTATGTCAAGAAAGCCAGTGAGCTACCCAATAACACCAAGTACCAGCATAGTGGTGAATGAAAAGAGGACTCACAGAAACAACACCTGTAAATAGTAGATCCGGGAGTTAGAGAGATGCAGAGGCAGGAGGATGCATCAGAGGCAAGGTAAAGCCTAGCGGAGGCTGGAGCCAAGTTTGAGCTAGTCAGCTGATCCAACCTTGTTAAAATGCAGATTCTCAGACAGTCTGGGGAGAGGTCTGAAATTCTGCATTTTTTTAAAAGATTTTATTTATTTATTTGACAGAGGGAGAGAGACACAGCGAGAGAGGGAACACAAGCGGGGGGAGCAGGAGAGGGAGAAGCAGGCTTCCCGCCGAGCAGGGAGCCTGATGCGGAGCCTGATGCAGCGCTTGATCCCAGGACCCTGGGATCATGACCTGAGCCAAAGGCAAATGCTTAATGACTGAGCCACCCAGGCGCCCCTGAAATTCTGCACTTTTAACAAGTCCCCAGGGGCTACACATGGTGATATGAAGTCAGTAAATGCAACTCAAAATTTAGACTTCTGCTAATCTAGTCAGAGAACAAAAAATAAAATACAAACTAAACACGGAAAAGGCTGAATTTCATTAGCTGTTAAGCTTTAGCGAAGTCAGAGTCCACTAGCTTGTGTTAATAACTAGAAACTCCACACAAATAAATGAGAATATCCACAGAGGATCAAAACATCCTGACTTACAAAACATTTTCTGCTGCTCTTAGGCAAGGGCAGGTGGGGGTTTTCAAAGACTGGTCACTTGTGAACATTGCTTCCTGTAATAGGAAGACACCTCATTTCAGCACTCGGGACTATTGTAAAACACACCTGAAGATATGACACGAAATGGGACATGGAGGCAGAAATAGCTTTCCTCTCAAAAACCATGTGTACAGGAGAGCTGACAAATATGTGTTTTTCTGTTGAACTCTGGGCTTGCCACCACCGGCCCACTCCTATGCGAGTCAGAGGTTGCGTTTGCTCTTTTGAGGGTATGCAAAGTGACAAGGCACCAGTCAGCAGATTACTCCTAATGCTATTAAATGTTGCTCTAATTTTTCCCTGCCAAATAATGGCTGATTTCGACCTGACTGGAGTAACAAGTTCGGTAGGAAGACAGAACTCCTAGCTTGCCGTTCTTTATTTTGAGTCTCTTCCTGATTTGGCAAGGAATCAGACAGTAATTCCCTCAATTTCACAAAGCTTGATTTTCAGGTAAATCGAAAAACATTTCATCACCACAAGCTGGTCCGAGCAGATCAGAGGAGAAAAGAGAATTGCCCCCACCACCCTCACTAAATCCCACAGAAGCTGTGGGATGGTGATAAACGTCTTCTCTACCTTGCTTTCTTCCAATGAATCAACAAACTGGTCCGTGTAGCCAGTGATCCCTGAAGGCACTAACATGCTGAGCTGTGTGAAGGGTGGAGGCAAGGTGGGAGAAGAGCTTTCATTTATGTCCAAGTGGGCTGCTGGGTCTGAACGTCCCAGGTGAAAGAGAACTGAGACAAAGCAAGCGTGGGTCTGTGGAGTGAGGAGCTGGGTGCCAGTCAGGCGAGGGGGGAACCCCCGCTAGAGGAATTACTCAATGGAATCGGTCCTCCAGCCAGCACAGAGGCAGAGATCAGCTCAGGGAGCTCTGTTAGTGACTGGATTCTAAGAAACGCTTTTACCATCAACTGTGGGATGCACAGGACATGAAAAACTTGTGAGTCAAAATACAATAAAACCAGCACTCAAAGAATGTTGGCTTCAACATTGCTTTCTGATGGTACAAATAACTGAAAACCGTATCTGGGGAGCCCCACGAATTCAACAGCGGAAACAAGAAGCTTGCCGGACAACGTGAGTTGTGCATGACTGGTTTACAGAGGGCTTGGCACAGGTTCTAAGAGAGAGAAGGGTTCCAGTAGATACTGTTTGATTCAACTCTGAGACACATGTGACTATTAAACTTTAATGCAGGGCGGTCGCAACTGTCTTTCTGTCCTTCTTCCCAGGGGCCAATTATTTTCATAGAACGCTATTACTGATAAAGTTTCAGCGATCCTCATTAGAGTTCTAGAGTTCAAGAATTCTGTTAAGTAAAGAATTTTGGCAATAAATTATTTTCCTGAGGGGGTTTACAATGAACACTTTATTCTTGTATATCTTCCTTGAAGAGAGACTTCAAAACCTACAGGTCCATTAGCCTTTATAAATCTTCCCAGCTTGGGGGTGCCTGGCTGGCTCAGTTGGTGGAAAGGGCAACTCTTGACCTTGGGGTCATGAGTTCAAGCCCTACGCTGGGTGTGGAGCCTACTTAAAAAAAAAAGAAAAAGTCTTCCCAGCTTGTGCCATTTTCTTCAGCAATGAGGTATCTGATGTGTGTGGGGCATGCCCTTCCCCCAAGAGGCATGCTGCTTTCCTGGAAGATAAAACTTTGTTTTTTATGGAAATAGTTTCTTTTTTAATGATATGATGTTAAAATCCCATCCCAGTAAACAATGGATATGGTAAAGAAAATGATGAGTTTTTCTGACTCAGTTTCAAGTCATAGTGAGAGTAGTGATGATGGCCAAGGAGGTCAGCTTTGGAGACAAGCAAAAGTCATGTAGTTTCTCTTTTTTACGATCACTAGAAAAATATACTTCCTGGGTCTGATAGGAGAGAAAGGGACGGTTTCCTGGAATAAAGGCTGCTGAACAGTAGCAAAGAGAGCAGGTATGATTTTAAAAGAGTGAACTTTCATTAAATCCTGGGGAAAATGCACTTGAAAAACAATTTTCTGAGATGGATTTGCTGAATTTCTTTTAAATTTTTCACAGAACAGTAAAGAGATAAGAAAGGAAATCCTTAAACAGTTGGGGGTATAATGAGTACCACACAGGATACTTTCAAAGACTGGGAATGGATACCATGTATTGCTTGGTCAGATGGTGTCAAAACGTGGGTCGTCCAGGAAATGCCTGCTAACCTAGGTTTCTCACAGTGAAACTCTAGGTTACTTCATTGAGGAAGGGAACCCATTATTTTGTTTTTATAACTTCTATGATTATAACATACACATTTCTTATGGAATATGAGTCATGTGGAAGAGCAAATATAAGATAGTAAAAGTCACCTGTAATCCTATCTCCCAGAGATAATGATTTTCGAAGCTTTGATGTATTTTTTTCCTACTACTTTTCCTTTATCTTTTTGGCTTCTTTTGGATAGGTCATACCATCCATATGATTCCATACCTCCTTTTCTCAACTAACATAAACAATTTCCCATTTCACTAAAATTAATAAAAAATATAATATTAATAACGATATCAATATTAAATAATACCACTATTTATTAAATTACCCTCTTTTCTTAGGCAAAATTAACATTTTACTGAGTGCCTCTCTGTGTGCCAGACATTTTACATATATTCACAACGGTTTCATGAAGCTGGTATCTCCACTGCGCAGATGGGAAAGCTGAGGTTCAGAGAGGTCACACAACCTAATCAAAACACCACACCTCATAGGGGTAACGAGTTGCCATCGGGCCTCACACGAGAAATCAGATCTCAATTAAGGCCTATGTGTTTTTTCTCTACACAGTGCTGCCTTCTAATTTATTTAGGGATACCTAAGATCCACTGGTCCTTAACAAAATTTGGAAGTTTGTCTTTTCCTATGCACCCAGTATTCTCCTTCTGAGACTTTTTCCTTGAAACATTCTCTTATCACATCAGACCTTTTAGTTCCTTCTTCCCTGGCTCAGAGGGTGTCAGAATCTGAGGGAGGGGAGGGGAATGGTGTGGACACTAAGCTTATTCTCATCCCTCCTCACCCTTGGGATTAGCTCCAGCCTAGGTCCCCTCAACCGATCCTGAGCACTCTGCCCTCTCAGACTGACTCATGGAAGCGTGGGAGGGGCTCAGAGAATGTGGGTTTTTTGGAAATCGAATCCAGTATAATTTTGTCAATGACGTGTATGCAGGGGAAAAAGACAGGGAGAGAGAAAGTCTAAGTCACACGTAGCATCAGGGAAGACTACCCCCACTAGGGCTGATTGTAGGCTCAAAGAATGACCAAAGATAAAAATGAAGGGGGGAAATCGGAGGGGGAGACGAACCATGAGAGACTATGGACTCTCAGAAACAAACTGAGGGTTCTAGAGGGGAGGGGGGTGGGGGATGGGTTAGCCTGGTGATGGGTATTAAGGAGGGCACGTTCTGCATGGAGCACTGGGTGTTATGCACAAACAATGAATCACGGAACACTATATCAAAAACTAGTGATGTAATGTATGGTGATTAACATAACATAAAAAAAAAAGAAACGAATACCTAAGAATCCAGTTTAGTTATATAAAAATCACATGAGAGTTATTTGCGTGGTCTGATTACTATCGTGCAAATTTCTGTGGAACCCTATAATTATACATATTAAATATGTGCCAGATTTATTTGACATAATCATTACAAGACTGCCTGCTTGCATCTTATAAAAAAATGAGAACAGTGAATTTACATGTCTCATAAGGTAAGGCTATTAAGGAGGGCAGGACTGAGTGGAGGCAAGAATACTGAACACGGGCCTGGAAATCTGGGGCTATAGACCCCTGTTTGCCAGCAGTGTGATCTGAAGTAACTCCACTTCTCAAGAGTCCCAGTTTTCCCGCCTATAAAAGAGCAGCATGCTTCCTACTATCAAGAGTTACAGTGGGGGATCTATCAGTCAAAAGATGTGCTCCTCCATTGTGCGTGCTGCAGAGAACAGATGTCACACATGGGAGGTAGTCCACCGTCAGGAGGGTCAGTGGTGACTATTTTCAGAGTATTCCCAGGAGTCAGGCACTATGTGAGGTGCTTATGGATCTGGTGCTGAATGATACTGGCAGGCTCTCTGCTCTTAGGGAACTCACCTCCCAAAGGGGGAAGACTGATAGTTTGCAGTGATGGCGATTAAATGCCAGAGATATTAGAAAAGCTCTATGGTAAATGTCTGTAAATTATAAATCACCCAGCATACTATGAAGGAGAAGTATTTTAATAACAAAATTTTGAAAGACGGCTCACATACCTGCCATCCATCTCGGATCTTCTGATTGAAGATTCCATATTCGTACCGGATGCCATATCCATAGGCTGCAAGTCCCAGGGTTGCCATGGAATCCAAGAAGCAGGCTAAATTAAAGTAAAGGCAGAGTCATCAAGGTTAGTCCAAATTTCATCTTTTAAAAAAGATGGCAGCCACAAAACATTTTTTGTCTGAAAAACCACATTTGTATTTTGAAGCAGAGACAGCTGTGCAGTGGGTATTATTTTAAAATAACATTTTAAAATTATAAAATGAGTATTATAGAAAAGCCAGAAAATACAAAAATGAATACAGAAGAAAATAAACAGCATTTACTATCTTGCCATCTACGAGTAACACTGTGTACCTGTTGGCATTTCATTTGAGAACAGATAAGGAAGCCGGCCTGCCTTAGATATACCCATTACTGTGTCTGTCACTCACACTGCCCTTTCTAAGGGAAGCTGTCTCTATCGCCCCCTGCTTGAAAGATGGCCCCAGGAGAGGATAATTTACATGTGACCACCTAACCAACTAGCTGGACATCTGTGGCAGACTCTCTTTCTGGCCAAGAGAATTCCAGTGTTGTTCGGATATCAGGGGGCCATATGCTTCAGGGAGGCTGGGCCAGGAAACGAATCTTGCTTTGGTCTAAGCTTCTAAGCCAATCATAGTAATTCTATTTTCTTCACCAGTGATTGGTTTTGGCATGGGCACACAATGACCTACGATCTAATGAGAGGTACTAGGACGTCTGCTAGGTACAGTGAAAGATTTCCTTGCTCCTGCCATCTTTTTTTCCATGGGAGGAAAGCCAAAAGAACCACACAGACCCAGAGTCCTGACAGAGTCATGCTGTTGAATAAATTCATCTTGGAATGGCCGAAATTCTGGAGTCCTTGTCTAGTCAGTGATAACACACATCCTTGTCGGTTGAACCAATTTTTGCTAGATTTTCTGTTACTTGTAGCCAAGAGCATTAATGACAGAGCCCCTGATCCAGAGCAGCCAATCAAAAGGCTGGGAAGGGGTGCCTGGGTGGCTCAGATGGTTAGGCATCTGCCTTTGGCTCAGGTCATGATCCCAGGGTCCTGGGATTGAGCCCTGCATCAGGCTCCCTGATCAGCGGGGAGTCTGCTTCTCTCTCTCCCTCTGCCCCTCCCCCTGCTCCTTCTCTTTCTCTCTCACTCACTATCTCTCCCTCTCAAACAGATAAAATCTTAAAAAAAAAAAAATTAAAAAAGCCGGGCAGGGATCTATGTTGTGGCCATGTGCTATCTGAGGGGTTACACCAATCTGATTGTCCCTCTCAGGTATCTGAACTGAGAAATATACAGAGAATGAGGAAATGTATAATAGGATCTAAAACCGAAAAGAACATTTGTAGACCAAACAGAAATGGGCTAAGTTAGGTTCACGGTGGGGCTCTGAAACAGAGAATCCACAAAGGCCAGTGGCCAATGCCTTCAAGTTACTGGAACCTCACAGTGGTCTTCCAGTCCCGATGCTCATGAGGCCTGACTCTGCTCCAGTTCCTGCTCTCTCAGAGCTGTGGCCATTTGTCCTTTCCTGGGTCTTGATCAAATTATTCTTAGAGCCTGACCAGAATGGGGTCTCAACCTTTTCAGTCAGACAGAGATGAGGCTACCTCATGAGAATCACTCAGCCTCGCTCACCACTTCACTCTTTGCACTTCTCAGCCAACTGAAGGAGCAGGGTCATTAATATCAGGCACACAGTGGGGTTAACCCAGCCAACAAATAGGCCTAGGGCTTTACAGAAATGAAAGGCAGGTTGGTTGTCATTCTTAGATGTGTATGCCACTGGTTCTGCTAGTCTTCTTACAGCCTCGTGGAAAGCCTACTAAATTGCCCGATGGTTGACTTTACAAGGTAGTTAAGTATCTCTAATACTGATAGCAATGTTAATGCACACTGCCACTAGTGTAAGGATTAAATACCATGAAACACACACAAATGGATTTCCAGTAACTTGAAAGTGTGTGTAAAATTAAGAGATATTGGAATCATTTTTGAAAAAGAAGAAACAGATTATTTTTCATAGAGTGCAATCTGATAAAGACATGTATGGTGGTACATTTTTATTACTCAATTTAAATTTCACAAGTACACTGTATGTTCATTATACTGGAATTAAAATAAAAAATAAACTTCACAAGTCATACATCCTCATTGTAAAACCATTACCACATTACAGAGACGGTAAGCACCCCCAACTTTGCACTCCTCTCTAGGGAAGATCAGAGGGAGCACTTTAGTATTTCAAATTCCAGACATTTTCCCCCTATGGATTTACACATATACTTACAGAAAATAATTAGTTTTTAAAAAACATAAACAGTATCACACTGTGTTGTTTTTAATGCCACTTGCCTTTTTTTTTCTTCCCTCTTAGAGGTCTATATAAAAGTACATAGAGCAATTTTATTGTTTTTATTCTTTTACTGCATATTTTTCTGCAGCATACATGTTCTGGTACTTATTTACCTATTCTTAGATCAAGGGACATTTGGTTATTTCTAATATTTTGCCTTAACAGACAATACTGTAATAATTTTTTAACATGCCTCCTTGTGCACATGTTGAGTGTATCTTTAGGGTAAATATCAGGAAGTAGAATTGCTTGGTCACAGGGAAGCCTATTTTTAATTTAATGGAGTTGGTATTATCTTTTTAATGTTTTCCTTTACATTTGTTGGAAAAATCACTTCCTGGATAAAGCACTGGAATTGTATTCATACAAAAAAAGATATTCATGAACCAAATCATACCGATAATATAATAAGTGGATCACTGCCTACCGGTAAATAAGAAAGCAGACAAGACAACAACACAATGGCGAAACAACTCAGGTCACACCTCACAAGTATGTGAAGCGAGCAGCTGTAGACAAATAACAGTGAAGGAAAGGGGCCACTCTGGAAACCCTGAAGTGCACAGGAAGGAGCCGGTTAACTTTGGGGTTTTAAGCAATGTCTCCAAGGGTTTTAAGCAACGTCTCTTTGGTTCAAGTTCCCTTCTCTGCTCTTTGTGTAGAACTGATCAAACCACAGTGCAAACCCAAAGACAAAGACATCTGTAAGCCGGGTCACACCTTGCACTCCTCCTGGAGAGCTTGTCTGGCTCTCCCAAGCGTGGTCACGCACGGCATCTGGGAAGCCGTCAACCGGTCAGACAACACATAACACACGAATGATGTCACTTACCGGCAAGCCTCCCAAGACCCCCATTGCCAAGCCCGGCATCCTCCTCCATTTCTTCCAGCTCTTCCATATCCAGTCCAAGCTGGAGATGAAAGGAAAGCAACATTGGATGCAGGCACAAATGCAGGCCATTTCAGGAAGCACAGTCATTTCCTTAGTCCCTCGGTCGGGCATCCAGGGTATTCTGTGTGCTCAATTCTGTCAGCTCCTTCACAGAGTGTTCTGCCAGCAGAGGCCCCCTGCAAAGGCTGGTGACTGCATATGCAAACCATACGAGATGGCCCAGCAGCAGCGTGGGAAGGAGTGTGGGTTCCAAAGGGCCATTACTGGCTCTGTTACTTCTTAGCTCTCTGACTCTGGGCAACATAATTCTCTCTATGCTTCTCCTCTCTTATTTAAAAAAATGAGGATAATAGTATCTGCCTGATTTAGGGCTGTTATGAATTAAACGAGCTTATACAAACAAAGCATTTAGAATTACCCTGAACAGATATTTCTCAATAAATGTCAGCTATTACTATTTCTTAAAATTATTATTATTATTTTGTGCTGTAGGGGTAAAACCTCAGGAATGGTCCAGCATCACGCTGACACTAACTGGGCTGAAGGATTTTGAACACTATCAAAAAGTATGAGGTCAGACTTTCTGGGATAGACTAAAGTTCATCTTTTCATGACCACAACATATTTACTCACTAGGGTCAATAGTTGTTAACCCAAAACCAGTTATTGAGTCACTGCCCATGAGACCTGGGACCAGACTGCAGTCCGGGGAAACAGCCCTGAGGGCCAGCTGGACGAGGGCAAAAAATCCTCTACTTCTTTCTGAGGCGGGTAAGAGACTGTGGGAGGCCAATGAACATCTGTGGTGGTGATGGATGGATTTGGTGGCCAGCCAGCTCTCTGCCCCCAAGTGTTTGGCTCACACAGTTAGAGACTGGTTAGCACCAGCGTGGACTCATGTCAGGGCTGTGCGGTCCTGGAGATCCCTTTGGGCTGCTCATCTTACAGTGAGAAAACTGATGGCTAGATAAATTAAATGACCTCTCCTATGTTGACTTGATAGTAATCTAGCCCGTGGATGGCTAACAATGGTTTGTTGTGAAAATGACGGTATTCTTATCTGAAAGTGAGGCAATCCATTAAATTAGACATTATTTAAAATGGGAAGATAATTCACACATTTACAAACATATATGTAAATTAGAACCACGCTTGAAGTTGATGCCCCAGTTTCCATGAACCACCTTCTTGGATCCCCTACCCTTACACCAAAAGTGGCTTTTCCACACAAGTCTTGACAACTAAATCTCCCGAGGGTTCAAAAATAGCTTCGCCTCTGCTTATTTTTGGAGGGGCTTTCAAATGTGCTCCCCGGTGACTAGAGTTTACCGGGGTCCTTGTGCAAGCCAACAACACAATGGTGAAGCAACTTAGGTAATATCACACCAATATGTAAATCGAGTAGCTGTGAACAAATAACGGTAAAGTAAAGAAGAGGCCACTTTGGAAACCCTTCATTGCTAATGCTAACACTCAGGATTTTTTCAATTCTAAACATGGACGTCTCAAGTAGGCTGTAAACCTTGAGGAGGTTGACATAGGTTACTTCACCCACCTGGTTAGATGCCAGGCCAGGGGAGGTATATTATTTTCACCTGTTATCAGGGGAGGCAAAGAAAAGGGAAATGGAGGGGAGCTGCAATGATTCTTTCATTGAAAATACCTAACCCCTAACCGCCATGAAGGAAACCAGCCCTTGGCCACAGTAGCTGGTCACACAGGACAATCCCATGCCAAGGAAAAGGAGCAGTTTGGACGGTCTCTCATTTAGAATGTGTCATTACAAATACACATGCCCCCTTTCTGTCACATGAAAAGGATTAAGAACTATTTGTTTTTTGGCATGGAGATCCCTGAAGCTCAGGGGAGAAATAGTTAAATACATTCCGTTCCGTAAAAACAAATTAGCATATTAAGTTTAAGACCTCGAGTTCCTCATTTAAGGAGGAAGTGTATTTTACATCTCATTAAGCAGTAAAGAAAGTATGTCAATGTAATTTAAAAAACTTATTATTTATGCATGTTGCCTTGATACATGAATAATAGTCAAACTTTGATCATTTTTAAAACTAGAGAGGAGGGGGGGCTTGGCTGGCTCAGTTGGTGCAGTGTGTGACTCCTGATCTAGGGGTTGTGAGTTCGAGCCCCACGCTGGGTGTAGAGATTACTTAAAAATAAGTTCTTTAAAAAAAAAAACAAAAGTACGGTGAGCGCTGTGAATTGTGCAAGACTGTTGAATCACAGATCTGTACTTCTGAAACAAATAACGCAACATATTATAAGAAAAAAGGAAAAGAAGAAGATAACAGGAGAGGAAGAAAAGGGGAGTATGTCAGAGGGGGAGACGAACCATGAGAGATGATGGACTCTGAAAAACAAACTGAGGGTTCTAGAGGGTAGGGGGGTGGGGGGATGGGTTAGCCTGGTGATGGGTATTGAGGAGGGCACGTTTTGCATGGTGCACTGGGTGTTATGAACAAACAATGAATCATGGAACACTGCATCAAAAACTAATGATGTAATATATGGTGATTAACATAACAATAAAAAAATTAAAAAAAAAACTAATGATGTAATATATGGTGATTAACATAACAATAAAAAAATTAATCATAAAAAAAAAACAAAAGTAGATAGGAACTCAAAGTAGAACTTGTGATTCTGATAGCAGGGGCTCAGGTACCTTTAAAAGGCTTGTTTAGATACTAAGTCCTAACATGTACTTTGCTGGGGAATGCTGTCAAAAACTGACTGCAGAAGAAAATTCTCATGAGGCAAAACCAGTTCTCTAACTTTGTCTCTCTTAAACCAGAGATCTCCACTAGTTTGTATTTCTAATTGTAATAACCATAGCTATAGAAGCTACTTTTCACTTTTTTTTTTTTTTTTTTTGGTGCTACATTCCCAAGGTTCCTGAATTGAACTTGAAATTTAAGGGGAGAGAATGAAAGAAATACGGAGACAACGTACCTGGTAAATGGCCTCGTCACAGGCATTTTGCAGGCCAAGGTTGATCATGGTGTTCTGTAATGTTCGGCCCATGTAAAATTCCAAAGAGAGGTAATAAACCCTCTGAAACAAAGAAAGGTCATGTTAATGCTGTAAGGCCAGTGTTCCTTGTTAACATAAAAACACAAAAGGTCACCAATAAGAAACAAACAGGCGAGACTAAGGTTCAAATGAGACTCCTAAAGATGGATGAAAGGCTAAATACAAGCAATACTGACAAATGGCTTTGAGAAAAACCATTTTATACCCTATTTTTGGCAAAGCAGTTTTTATGCCCAGGGAGAAAAAAAGCAAACTCATCCAACTAATTAGATTCAATGTTTTGTATGTTTTCCTTCCCGTTCAGGAGCCTCATGAATTAAGCATATGTTTGGACAAACAGAAGTCAGACTGCCATAGCTCATCACTCATTTGTAACATATTTATATGATGAGAGTCAGGTGGGTTTGACTGTGATCATCTCAACTCATCTAGAAAACGTAAAGATTAACTCCTTCAAGATACATACTGTGGCTAGAACATAGCCAGTGTGTCTGATTACTGCAAGTAATAGTACAGTTAATTATTTTAGAATAAAATGATTCTAGAAACGCTGTGGTCTGGCAATAACAAAAGACTACCTCAGGTTTATTGGTGTTTGTTCTTGATGAAATGGGAAATTTCTCTATCAACTCAGCAACTGTTCGCCTTTGACATAAAGCCAGGTAAATACTATTTGAGATGAAAGTGAAAGGTGCCAAGGTTAGAGTTGTCTAAAACCTTTCAAAATACAAGCTAAGTTTACTAACTTAAAAAAAAAAAATAAGGAAGATCAGTGAGTAACTTCATCATCCTCTTTTACAATACCTTACTTTCCATACCGCTTCCCCTTTTCTTTTCCGCCAAACATGAAACAAATATCTATAAATGCATCAATATAAAGTCACTTCAGACCTGTACCACTGAAACAAATAATACATTATATGTTAAAAAAAAAAAAGAAGATAGTAGGAAGGGAAAAATGAAGGGGAGAAATTGGAGGGGGAGATGAACCATGAGAGACTATGGACTCTGAGAAACAAACAGGGTTTTAGAGGGGAGGGGGGTGGGGGGATGGGTTAGCCCGCTGATGGGTATTAAGGAGGGCACATATTGCATGGAGCACTGGGCGTTATACGAAAACAATGAATCGTGGATCACTACATCAAAAACTAATGATGTACTGTATGGTGGCTAACAATAAAATTAAATTTAAAAAAAATATAACTTCAAATTTTAGGGATTCCTTCATTACCCAATAGTGAGAATCCAAAAGAAAAGTGTTTGGTCAACCCGAAAATATAAAAAGAATATAGCTCAATATCAAAAATGCTTATTATAATATTTAACTCATAAGTTACACATATATATTTAAAATATTATATGAAAATGTCAACTTAGAAATTTCACTTTTTCCCACTTTCATCTTATGAAACAACTGAATTCTAAGTGTTCCCCTGGACTGTCAACATAGTGGTCATATAACATGATTATATGTGGGTCATATAACATGATTTTCCAGAGCATATCCTCATTATTTTTATCCAAGGTGTTTGAATATCTATAATGCTGTCATTAGGGCCCTCATCAGCTTATTAGCTGCCTCTGTCTGAGTCAGGAAAAGGTATCTTTTCTGAGGCAGAAACAAGCCAAAGAGGTGCATGGCCCCACTCCCCCCAATGGATGTACCCTTGTATACAAGGCTACTGCAATACAGGAAAGCCACAAGCCACATTTGCATAACATCAGGGCAGTTTTTTCCATTCTTTGTGTATTCATGATCTCGATAATAAAACCACCATATACTGCTTTTTATGTTTTAGTGATCCATAAAAAGCTTGTTTGTAAATACAGTATATAGATGCAACACTTGCAATTGTGAGTTCACACCCCGGATGATGACATGTGTTAAATTTGTTTTCCTTTTTTAAAAAAGATTTTATTTATTTATTTATTTAAGAGAGGGGGAGAGAGAGAGCCAGCAAGGGGGGGAGGGTTGGGATGGGGAGAGGGACAAGCAGACTCCCCGCTGAGCACTGAGCCCCACATCAAGGGTGGGGGTGGGGCTCGACCTCAGGACTCTGAGATCACGACCTGAGCAGAAATCAAGAGTGGGACACTTAAATGACTGAGCCACCCAGGTGCCCCTCTTTGCTTCCCTTCTAATGATTCCAAATTAGCATGGACTTCAGACATTTTAGGACAATTCAAGATCTTCCTAAAAAAATGTTGTTGCTTAAAATAATTGAAAAAGCCCCTCATTACATGACAGACTTTACAAGTACATGAATTTAAGGTGATTTCCTATTTTCACTTAAATAATTTTTTGGGGGGAAACCTTACCTCATATTTGGGGATATACAAGACCTTGAAAAATTGATCTACCCCATCCTCTTAGTTAGCAGTCTCTAAACACTTAAAACACACTCCTAGTAGTAAAATTTTTGAACATCTCCAATACACCTTATAAATTATGTGCATGCACTATTACTGATATTTTATGTATATTTTACATAAAGTGGACATTTTCAAAAGGCCTATAAAGATAAAGAAGACATAACGATAGCCAGCATTTAAAAATAAAAGTTATTTTTAGTCCTACTGTCAATCAGAGGCCCCAGGTACTTCTGGGAAGACCTATGAACGGGTGCAGGACAGGCAAGAGTTGAGCATGGAGACACATGGAGGTGGGGCAGGGCATCCCAAGTGACAGGTGCATTGTGGGCAGAGGCCCAGAAGTGGGACAGGACATGGACCTGGACAGGGACAGCACATCAGTTTGGTGGGAGAGCAAGGTGAGCCCAGGAGGGTAATGGGAGATAGGATGGATAGGAGGCATAGGTACACCTGGCTGAGAAGGACCTTAAATGCATGACCGTGACAGGCAGTGGGTGCCATGATATCTAAACACGGGGCAAGATGTGTTGCTTTGGGAAGCTTAATTGGACTACAACACACAGAATGAGATGGGATTGCATATCCAAATGCCTTCAGGAGCCAGGTAGAGAAAATAAATGTGTAATGGGAGTCACATGAAACAATGAGGAGGAGTCCTGAGCCAAGAACTGGGATGTATGTGTCCTGCTCGAGGGCACTGAAAATTTAACTGCTTAAAGGTGTTTTGCTGGCCAAAATGAAACACAATAGCTAGCCATATTCAGCTGCACGCTCCCAGCTTTATCACTTGCGGGGAGCAAGGTAACCACGTAGAGGTCTACTTCTTACACCAGCAGCCTGGGCCTCCAGCGCAGAAAACAGAGAATGCAGGAGAGTGGGTAATTTCAAGAGAACCCACAGGAATCAACAGAATTTGGCAGCCTGCTGAATGGGGGATACAGGAGGAAATCAAAGGTGAGACTCAAGTTTTATGTCTGGGTGACTGTCAGGATGGCAATGCCATTAAAATTACAAACAGAAGATAAGCCAGGATTCAGAGGGATGATATGAGTTTGAGGAAATAGGAAGAGATCTAGGTATGTTCACTGAGTACTCAGACATGTAGGAATGGAGTCTGAAAAGGAATCCCAAATCTGGGATTCATCTGTACAGTTACCAGACAGCAGGGGAGATGGGAGGAGAGCTTGGACACACTGGTTCCACTCTGTGTTCTAATGAGGGCAGGGACCTTCTGTTTAGGAGAACAACTGTCACAGCCGAGATAATTAAGACACGGAAGGAATCTTGTTCGCTGTGGTATCCCCATCCTATCACCATCAAATACCTGGTTTATACCTGCACTCAGGTAGGAAAGTGCTGTCCAATGAGAAACTTGCCAGAGGACAGGAGAACAAGAAAATACCAGATATGCCAAGGGAGGAGAAACACACAAGGTGCTAAAGGCTATGGAGGGGTGTGTGTGTGTGTGTGTGTGTGTGTGTGTGTGTGTGTGTGTCATTCTAAAATATGGCTCATCGTCTCATTCTCCAGTTTAAAAACAAATTATTTTTAATAGGAGGTGCAGTCCCCTCTATACAAATAAAAAAGATACAGTAAATATAAGTATACACGAAGTGTTTTCAAGAATTATATTTTAGCGGTTGCTACCTTTGGGTAGAGGCCTAGGCCTCTGGCGTGCAAAAGCATTTGAAAGCTTTGTAACAGCCGCAGTTTCTTACTACAAGAATTTACTTTCTTTTGCTCATGGGTTCTTTGGACTAGTCTTTCCCTCCCCCCATGTTTTTACATATTAAAAATATTCCTAATAGATGTTTATATGCATTTCCCACTGCCTTCTGGATATATCTTTCACCTATCTTTCACCTTTCCTAATATGCCCCCAGCCAGTTTTTCCAGTTTCCTCTCTCAATACACACTCACACCCCCCTCGTTCTGCACAACGCAATACTTCTCCCTGCCAGGTCCTTTCCAAATCCCCCCCACCCCCACCTTCCCAGACTGGCCAGGTGGAAATAGTGTCCCTCTGTGCGCCCAAAAGCTCCCTAAGGAACCTTGCGTTCCAGGCCCTGCGTAGTGGAGAGGGTTGGTCAGTGCACAGCCTTCCTCAGCAGCTTCTGGGGTAGGTCTTAGAGTCAGAGCCTGTTCTGGCCCTCGGCCTCCCTCCCGCAGGAAACAAGGAAGTGCCCCAGCTCCACTCCCTACTCATCGGAACTGGTGGGAGTGACTGGGCGGAGCTCTGACTGTGGGGCGGGGCCTCTGCCCCTCTCTCTTCACCTCACCTCAGACCCCACGAGAAGCCGGGGTCATCCACGCAACCCCCAGGCCAGCCCCTCCAAAGGATCTAGGGGCAGTGAGGCACCTTCCTTCGACTCTTCTTTTCTGCCTCCTCTCCACCCCCCCGCCCCCGAGTCCCTGATCTTATTACCATTTGACGGCGTACGTGTTTGTCTCCCTTCCCTAAACATTAAACTCAGCCAAAGCAGGGCTTTCGTCGGTTTTGCTCGGGGCCGACCGGCCTAGAACTGTGCCCGGCATACATACAGGAGGCGCCCAATACCTCCTATTAAATGCTGATGTAGCTGCTCCAAAGTTTGTGAAAGAAGCGGACAGACGAGGGAGGCCTGGCGTCCGCTCCCCAGGCGGCCGCAGGAGCCCAGCGCTCGGCGGCTCGGATGGGGCTGGGGTTGGCGGAGTGGTGCAGTGCCGTCCCCTGGGCGGCCCACCCCCCTCCCCGCCCCGACACGTCCAGCCCGGACTTCGGGGCCACCTCCCGCCCGGCCGGTACCTTGGGGCACTTCTCGTAGTAGTACTGCTGCGTGCGGATCCAGCGCCCCACCAGGTGGTCGCGCACCGTGTGCGCCAGCGCGAAGAAGTAGTCGCGGGGGGTGGCCACATTGCGGTCCTTGACCAGCGTGAAGTGCAGGTGTCGGTTGAAGCCCTTCTTGATCTCGGCCACGTTCTCCACGCCCACGATGCCGCGGATGCTGATCTGCCGCCTCTTCTCCTGGTCGGTCAGGGGCTTGGCCATGGCGGCGGCGGCCGGCAGCGCGGCGAGCGGGACTAGCGGCCCAGGCGCCCGAGGCAGGGCAGGGGCGGAGCGGGCTCTGCGCCTGGCGCCGCCGCTTTTGAGTGGGAGGAAAGTTTGCGGTCCGCCCCTGGGCGCGGCGCGGCGGGGGCTCCCGCTCCCCGGCCAGGGGGGCGGAGGGAGGGGGAGGGGGAGGGCCCGCTCGCCCGCCCCGCCCCGGGCTCTGCGGCCGCCGAGGCGGGGGGCGGGGCGCGCGCGGGACCCCCCGGCGGCCGGCGTCTGCGCTCCCTCGGCGCCCGGCTGGGGCGGAGTGGGGGGCCGAGGCCCGCTGGGCCGTCCGAGGTGGCACCTACGGCCCGTCACGCATCCACTCGGCGGCCCGCTTCCGGATCTGCGAATACCAGAGCGCGGCATTGTCGTGTCAACCCACTCGAGACGCTCCGATACTCGGAGGATGTCTGTGTGTGGAAGCACGTGTTGGCAAACTTTTGTTTGACAGACGTTTACTTGCTATGTCATTATTGTTATTTCTCACCTGGAATGCGTTCCACCATAAGCATCTGAAGGGAGCAGCACGCTTTTACTTAAGCTGTCCCGTCCTCCTCGTCAGTCCTTGGCGCTGCCCCACCCTGGATCCCAGACCTCCGAAAGAGATCCCAGGTGCCTCCTGTGCTTTCAGTTATTTTTCAAAGACTCAGAGATTCGGGTTTCTTGACTCCTCAGAGCCATCCCCAGTTTGCCCCGTCAAAAGCACCCTACTGCTCATCCGTAGAGACAGGTTCCTAAGAATCAGCAAGTCCTGAGTTGGCTCTTTGGGCTGATTAGGTGCCAGGAGCTTTTCTGTCAGGCCTCTTCTTTGAATTACCTTTTTAAAGGAAGGTGGGGTGGAGTAGGGAGAAAAGAGAAGGTATGTGTGTGGGAAATGAAGGGATAACTCACAGAGCCAGTTGCCTTGTTTATATAAAACAAAGCAGTCTGTGTTAATCTGCAGTACAGACCGATCTTTGCATGGTCACCTCAGCTTTGGTGGTGGTGATGGTGTGTGTGTATGTGTGTGTTTAAGCCTTGGCCAAGGCAAACACGTGGTATTTTAGGATGTCAGAGGCTTTTTCGTCTTCAATAAAGGGGAGTATTAATCTACTAGAATGTATTAGAGGGGCGCCTGGGCGGCTCAGTCATTAGGCGTCTGCCTTCGGCTCAGGTCATGAATTCAGGGTCCTGGGATCGAGTCCCGCATCAGGCTCCTTGCTCAGCGCGAAGCCTGCTTCTCCCTCTCCCACTCCCCCTGCTTGTGTTCCTGCTCTAGCTCTCTCTCTGTCAAATAAATAAATAAAATCTTTAAAAAAAATACTATTAAAAAAAAGAATCTATTAGAAACAGTCTGTTGCCAGAATTGCCAGCCTTGCCAACAAAGACTTGTGTTATTCCAGTTCCCAACTACTGCTCCCTGGTGGGCACTATGATGAAACGGTGCTTAGGAAGAGCTGAACATCTTGTCCAGACCTCCCAGGACAAGTCTAAGTTGCGCATTGCGGGAAGACAACCTCGGGAAAGTGTGTGAGTCCGGGTCTTTGGAGAAGCAGATGCTAAGACATGATTAAACGTGCAAAGATTTTTTATCAGGGCAAATTCCTGAGGGAGAGAAAACAGAGAAGGAACCAAGTTAGCCTGGGAGAGCATCAGACTGTGAGGCAAGTCTGAGCCCCAGTGAGGGAGGGAGGGAGGGAGGGAAGAATGGGAAGGGGGTGTCCCAGGCTGCCCTGCAGTCCTAGGAAGAACCAGCAAGGCCAGCGGGATGTTCTGGAGCCAGTCAACTGTCAGAGGTGTCCCCATGCTCTCTGAGTCATTGGTGGGAGCACACCCTGGAGGCGTGGCCTCCGCACACGCGAAGCAAGGATATCTGGGACCCTTGGTCACTTATGCTCCTTGAAGTTGGAGGTCTCTGAGCCCCATTCTGGTAGCCACCCCAGAAAGATAAACATAGGTCACATAGATAAACATAGGTTAAACATAGGTTAACGTAGATAAACATAGGTTAACAGTCACTGTGTTTCAAGGTAGAGATTATTGTGTTGGCATACCATTTTCGGATTCATCAAAACCACAATGAGCATTTCCTGAGGGCTCTGGCTGGGCACTTGATGTGCATTCCCTCATTCAATCTGCTCACCAGCTCTGTGGGCAGGTTGTAATCTGCTTCCCATTTGACAGATGAGGAAACTGAGGCTTAGAGGAGGTACGTAGCTTGCTCCAGGTCACATAAGGAAGGGGCTGAAGAGGTTTTCAGATCTCTGCATGTTGTTTTCCCTCTTCTGAAACAGAAGAGGGAATCTGGGTTCTGTTTTGTAAGCCTGAATTCTGACTGCACCTCAGCTGACCTATTTACCCTGCCTGCTTGGTTTGTTCTGTACTATCCCCTGGCCTTTTGACCTACTTCTAATCAGTTTTGAAATCCAGGGAAATGTCAGAAGTCCAGAGTGGCCCCACATCAGGTCACTTGCACTCTGGAGATTGGCAGTATGAAAAGTGAGCTGAGGTTTATGTTCAATAAGCGTATTTAAGTACATTCCACTCAGTATATTTAATGTATGAGTCTGTCAACCAAGGTGACTACCTAGACTCTGCTGTTTTAAATATTTAGTAAGATGACTGAGAGCCTAGATTTATTATACTATTGAATGCCCTTAGAATCTGTAGACGGCACAGCTGACTGAATTGCCATCTATGTAATTGGCCGTGACTGTGACCATTCACTTGGTACCTGAATATATTTGGCTTATCTTGAAGCAAGTGAGTATTCCTGGCACTTTCAGGTCCTGTCATATTTGATTTGCTCATTAATACGGTAGTTTGACTCGTTAGGTGTGGTCCAGTGGGAGTTCCCGAAAAGCCAGAAATGTTTAACAACCATCTCTTCCTGTCCATCAAATCACTGACAGTCTTAATATGCCTGGTGTGGAATATGCTGAGACTGGAGAATCAGTGCCTCAATTTCGACTTCTGCAAAATAAGACTGAAACTCTCTGTCCTATTCACTCCACAAGATGGCAAAGTTCAAAAAAGTTATGCCTGGAGAGATACTAGGATATGTTAAAAACATTCTTAAGATGTGAACTTTGGGTTGGGGATTATGTTTTGAAATGTTAGTCAGTATTTTAATGTTCTCCTGGGAGTTTACTTTTTCCCCATCTGCCTTGAGGAGCCGCTCTAGCACTTGTGCTTAGAATCTCTAAGATGTGAGCCTTCCTGGTTTGGGACTGCTGACATTTGGGAGAAGCATGAAGAGTAAGGGCCAAGGGGCTGAGGAGCCTGGGGCAGGAGTGAGAAGATGACATAACAGTTGTGGGGGGAATAGCGATGTCGCTGGTCTTGCAGCCAGGAGCCTGGATCCTGCCATTCTGGGGAGGCTGCAGAAACCCCAGGTGGCCCGAGTCTGTGAAAGCAGCCTGGGAAGCTACTCTGCTTCCTTGGAAGACCCAGGGAGGTAGCGGGACCCCAGGGAGGATGTGGCTGCTTGGAGGCTTCCAACAGTCAGGGCTTAGATGTGTTCACGAAGACTCCCCACCCCCAAGGAGCCATTGGCTGAAGATCAAAGGTCAGGTGTGAAGCTGACTCAGAGAATCCCCAGGAGGATCAATGTCAAGGCCTGAGTCCTCCATCCCCCATCCCTTCCATTGTGCCTTGGTCTCCAGACAGAATGGACCATTTCTCTCCTTCCTGGAAAAACGAGGGCTCAAATTAGAAATTAAGCTGATATATGAAAAATAAAGTTGCATTTTTTGCACAACTGAGTTTATATGCTGCTTGTGTTTCCTTTACCCTCTGGTATTATTGCTCATGCAATGATGCATGTTTCAGAAAAAGCTTTACTTTGTTATGGGAACAAATGAGAAGATTAATTCTGAGAAAATTTTGCAAAGAGATATGAACAAATCCTGACAAAGGAAGGGAAGTGAGAAATGTGCTAAGCATAGGGTTTCAGCAGATAATCATGATGCAACATGCCCTAGAGACAGCATCCCAGTAACCTTGTCTCAGGCCCTCGGTCATGCAGACACCCAAGTGAGCACATTTTGACTTCCCCTTTGTGTGCAATTAATTGTAAGCATTAACCATATAAAGCATAAACCATAAAAAACAAACTGTGGTTCCCTGAAGAGCTGTGGTTCTCCTATACAAATATTATTGGTTTTTAGAATTTTGTTTCTTTAGGGAGTAAATCTAAGGAATCACCAACACAGGTTCTCAAATACTTACTTTAACATTTCTGAACTGTTTAATTACCAAACTTTGAAGCTCTAATCAGTAAGGTGTTTAAATACAGAGGGCTTAAAATATACAACACAGAGAAAAATAGCTTCCTTTTCACTTAATATTTTCAAGGATGGAGCCTGGGATTTGGGATGATATATTAAAAGCTATTCTCAAACACAAATGCAGGGCTCTTCTTTTTGCATTTCTTATTGTCTTAGGTGGATTATAGCTCATAAAGCATAGTTTTGCATAGCATAATCTATCTCTGTTTTTCATTTTCAATATTTCTAATTTATTTGAAAAATATTTGTGCAGTGCCTACCATGTATCCGGCACTGGGCTGGGCACTTGAGATACATCAGTGAACCAAACTGACTAGAGAGTAGCCAGATACACTGTTTCCCCGGGACTACCACCCTCTCTTTATCTCCCCCTCACCCCTTTATATTTAAGAATTATTCTATACACTATTGTGGGAGTGGCCATTTGACAACCTGACCTGGTTTTACAACCACGACTACAGGACTCCCCTGTGGTCATGTCCCAGGTGAAAGAAGGACTTGGAAGTATTGGCCAGCTTGGAAAGTCAACAAAGTAATCATCGAAAGGGCACCCATGTATACAAGGTACAGCGTTCACTGCTAATGGTACCTGGGTGACTCAGTTGGTTAAGCAACTGCCTTCGGCTCAGGTCATGATCCTGGAGTCCTGGGATCGAGTCCCGCATCGGGCGCCTTGCTCAGCGGGGAGTCTGCTTCTCCTTCTGACCCTCCCCCGTCTCATGCTCTCTCTCTCTATCTCATTCTCTCTCTCAAATAAATAAATAAAATCTTTAAAA